TGGCAGCTGAATATCCTTTTTCCGGACGAAGAATATCCTTAGATTTCCTCAAATCTGATTGGACGAATTTCAAAATTTCCTCAGAATCTCATGTGGGCATTCAAAAAACCTGTGGACATTCAACGTAAGTTTGTTGCCTTGCAGCCAGGTGTCTAAGTTACTAAGGTCGTTGTTGATAGCCTCATTCAGCTCAGTAATATCAGAAGATCGATAACACAGGCTGGTGTCATAAGCATACATGGATACAACTGAATCCCGGACAGCCTGTGGGAGGTCATTGATATAAAAGAGGAAAAGTACTGAGCCAAGACATGAGCCCTGTGGCACACCGGTCTCTATGTCCCTAACTTCTAAATCAATGCCGTTGACCCTACAAAACTGTTTACGCCCAGAAAGGTAAGATAGTGTCATAAAAATCAGCTTTAAGTTAATTGTTATATTTCATATATATTTTCATATATTTATTATTTCCATATGTCTGGAAACTCGCTTGTTTCAACGGATGTGTTAAACAGAAGGGCTAGCGAGTTTTCAATAAATGGCTGAGCCAGTTTCAGGATGTAGCTAGAAATTTTGTCAACCCCAAACCTCTTTGCAGCTTTTTCTTTGGTAAATGCATCCCTGATATGCTGCACTCTGCCCTTTTTTGTTGATTTGATAATCACCTGACAGAAGAGGGTTGGGAACCTGGTCAATTTTTTCTGCAAGATCCTTCCCCACTGAGCAAAAGAAACTGTTCATAGCATTAGATATATCATTTTTGTGATCAATCACTTTATCACAATCCTTAAGGCAGTCAATATTACTGGACTTGGACCTCTTATTAAGAAGTTCATTGATGGTTTTCCATGATTCCTTCATATCCCCTTCACATGCAGAGATCTTATTAGTGTAATATTCCCTTTTTAACTGGCCATTGAGAGTGTTGACCTTATTGCGGATGACTTACTTGCAACTGCTGTTTTTTAGCTTATCTCTTGACCGCATTAAATCCTTAAGATTCTGTTTAATCCAGGGGCAGTATTTTTCAGAGACGCGCATTTCACATATTGGAGCATGTTTGTCAATAATCAGGGAAAATAGGCTGGACCAGTAATTGACCATAACATAAATGTCATCGGTCTCAGTGAGCATTTGCTTCCAACATATAGCAGAAACATCAGCAAGGAATGCTTCCTCGCTGAAATTTTTCATTTTGCGTGCTTTGATCACTTTGGGGCCCTTTTCAACTGCACCATTAAATTTTCTGATGCAGTAAACCAAATGATGATATCTTAAAGGAACTTTACGCACTCCCGAACCCATTATGTTTCTGGCATTTGTTGTGGTAATGTGGACAATGAAAGAAAATGTGGTCAGGGTTACCCATGTTGGTTCACAAATAAGCTGTTTGATGCCGAAGAGCCCATACACATCACACAAATTTTCTGTATTGTTGTCTCTGGGCTGATCAGCTTCACATCCTGCAAGATCATGATTAGTGTCTCCAAAGAGGATCTAGCTTATTGAAAGAACCAACAGGGTCACTACGTGGTCTGTACCAAGCTACAATGAGAAATGGCTTGCTTTTGGGTGGTTTTACTTCAATACAAACGAGTTCAACGTCATCCTTTGGAACATCAGAATGTGGTTTGTATTTAGTATAGTCCCTAATATAAATAGAAACGCCACCACCACTGCTTTTTCTGTCCAGACGTTCTTGTTGGTTCAGCCACACTAGTCAGTTCTTTGAAAAAAGGCTGATTTCCATTTCATATTTTTTGTGCGCGCGGTCTGAGCATGCGTAGTTAAAATCGAGTTGTTTCAACTTTCTAGCGCTCACAGCGGACACCAAATCCAGACCACTTGATTTTAACTACGCATGCTCAGATTTGGGTGCTACGCCCGCGCGCACAAAAAATTTCAAATGGAAATCGGCCTAAAGTTAGAATCTAGCTTAGTTTCATTTCAGGCAAGGATATGTAACCCGAGGTTTCTAATCAATAATCTAACTTCATCAAGATGACTACGGAGACCGTTAACATTCAAGGATGCAATTGCCATGCCCTTTTTGTAGCCAATTTGCTGATGAGACCCCCCCCCCCCCGCAGAAACATTGTCCTCCAAAGGTGGAATTTTAGTTTTAGTTTTTAAACAGGCATCAACACTAGCACCGTATTACCATGAAATTGCATGCCTGATTAGATTTCTAGGAAACAGTCTAGCCCCATTTGGGTTAAGATGTAGTTTGTCATCAGCTTGTCATCAATATTGTTTAATATTTCCTTAGATGACCTTGTTGGGACATCGTGGCAACAAACATGTATAATGACTTCTTTAACAGCATCAATCTTTTTTTCAATAATCTTCTTGCGTTTTATGCGGTCTTGAACACTTTTGAGACCCCCATACCCACAGGGAGCGATATTCTTCATTTTCTTTTAGTCTAATCGCTTGACATGCGAATCGCCCAGAACAAGCACTTTACCATTTTGTGGGCGATCTCCTGATTCCTGGGCTGTTTCTTCGTATCTCGCCTCTCTCTGTTTGTTTGCATCTGATGTAGTAACTTTGTCTTGATACTTGACAGAATTTATATCACTAGATTGTGTTGCACTTGTGTTACCTTTTCTCTTGTTGTTGCCTCTCTTTTTGTTAGGCCTATTTCTTGTTACTTTTTGTCATGCTTGGTCGTTCTCGCAAAGGCTGGACGGCTTGTCTGATCATCTAGGACTTCATTCAGGAACAAAGTCGTGGACTCTAGTCGAATTTTAAGGGTGTTGTTTTCTTTCTTCAGTAGTGAGATTTCCAGCTGCATCTCAATTAGGGTAATCTTATTACCGCTTGTTTGAGCTTACGTGAATCCGTTGGTCTTTCATATTTCTTGCTGTGCAAAATATCTTGAGCGAGTTTTCTTAAAGATAGGGCAAAACCACACTCTGCTTGTGGGTTCACTTTCTTCATCAGAGGGCTTAGGCCTAGGCCTAACAGTATGTTTCTTCGCATTGTCATCGATGCACGTGTTATGAAATCACACCGTGCACCCGTCGCACAAGGTCATATTACCATCAGTTTTATCACTTCGGCCAAATTTATTTGCAGAGCTACCATTCGCACGTCCGTCCCCCATCTTGATCTCGTTATAAGACAATCATAGAAAAAATAAAATCATCATTGTCAAACAGCAGTATCTATTGCAATTAGTTTTCATTCTTTTGAAATATCGAATTTCCTTAAATTTCTCTTGTCCTGAAAACTTCTTTGAAGAAACCTTGAAAGTGAAAACACTCACTGATCGGAGCTGTCTAGTTTCCATACTGCTCGACCTGATGACGTAATTAGTTTACCCTAAACCTAACCCTTACCCTAAACCTAACCCTAACCCTTACCCTAAACCTAACCCTAACCCTTACCCTTACCCTAACCCTAAACCTAGCCCTAACCCTTACCCTAACCCTAACCCTAACCCTTACCCTTACCCTTACCCTTACCCTAACCCTAACCCTAACCCTTTACTTGAAATAATTAATCACACTAATTTATGACTATTAATCATCAAGGCCGCGGAGAGAATTTATGGGCCTCGGGTCAGGACAAAAATTAAATTATAAGGCATGCCTAAGGCAGACGTTTCTAGGAGGTATGGGGAATGCTCCCCAGAAATTTTTGAAAATTATGGTTGCTTAAACTGCTAGGGTGGCTATTTTGGTTGCTAAGATTGCCATGGTGGCTAAACTGCACCGGTGGCAATGGTGTAAATAGAGGGGGTCAGAGGGAGCAAAAACACCACCGTAGAGCTAAACTGCCATTTTGTCGGAAAACCTCTGCTCTTTTCAAAAATTTAACATGGTTGTCTATGTTTATCTAAATGCTATGTTTTGTTTGAAAAAATTTGAATCTAAATAAGCATAAGAATATTCAATATATCAAAAGATCTTTTTTTCAGTTCTGATGTCGTTATGTTATGTTGAAATTTATGAGAAAGATATAGAAGCTTGTTAGATTTTTGTCGGAAAATCCATGGTTCTCGCCCCTTCTGTGAATTAGAAAGAAAAAGAAAATAACAGTTACAAGATGATACGTTTAAATAACTGAGAATAAAAAACAAGTGGGTTAGGCACAAGATTTAGGGATATTCAATGGAAGAGATATAATCACAAGTACATTTAATACTTTAGGCAACTGTTTATTCTGTTTCCTTCCCTATCGCACTGCTTCATGTACGCATCAAATATCATACTTACCATACCTGATAACTGATATCTGATACCTGATAATTTGAGCATAACTGATATCTTAGCACCATAATGCATGAAAATGAAATTTTCTTAGAAATTCTTAAATTTTAGAAAATGAAACACCGACACATTGTTACAAATAGATTCGAATGCCATAGTGTAAATCTGTATGACATACATATTGCCCTGTATGTTGCCCTGCAATCAAATTTTGGTAACATTCAGAAGCTGTTGAACTTCTTTAGCCCTAGCCAACAAAGATGAGAAATTCTTAACAAAATTATATTTAACAGTGAGGCAGGCAACGACTTCATGGACCTTTGTCATTATTGTCTCTAATATTATTTTTTGTTAATTATTACTTAGAATTTTTTTTCAATTGAGTTATTATTTATGGGCCCCTAAAGCCAAGGGCCCCCGGGTCAGTGACCCCCCTGACCCCCCCTCCCTCCTTTCCTCAGCACTGTTAATCATGCTTATTGATTACTATCAGGTCGAGCAGCATGGAAATCACTGACCAGTTTCAGCATACTGTCTTCCAAGCCTCTTTCTCAAGCACAGTTTGATTCTGGTGATGTGATGTAGTGATGTTGTTGTTGGTATTTTCCACGTGGATTATGTGCCAAACAATAACACAAACAATGCTCAATACATAAATGATGGTAAATTCGACCAAATGTTGGAAATGTAGCTCCTTTTTCATCATCTTTTGGCATCTGGCAAGCTAATAAACGGCTGTGTCACGGGATATGCCAGTGTTGCATAACAACTTGTGGCAACTTTCTTGTCCTCACGTGAATTGTATGCAGGTCTCCAATGAAAGCATTTGTCATATGTTTTCTGGTACTGGAAAGAGCTATTCTCTTGATCTTATCGTATACTAGCGTATTCTTGACGCCCTTTCTGTAGGTGTTATGGATGCCTTTGGTAACGTGTACCCGACTTTACTGGGATGTTTTCTTATTATACTCATTGGCTATGTCTGCGGCCGAGCAAGTTTGATATCAGCAAGCCAAGGAAAAGGAGTTGAGCTGTACATCACCCGTGTCGCCTTACCAGCTTTGCTGTTCAAGTCACTTGTGGAATTAGACTTTTCTAAAGTGGACTGGAATTTTTGGTTTGGGATTCTCGCAGCGAAAGCCATTTTGTTTGTGATAGTTGCCTCGCTAACTCTTCTCGTTAGCCAACCAATGTCAGGGAATCTTGGAAGAGCAGGGTTGTTTGCGATTTTCGTCACGCAATCAAACGACCTAGCACTTGGCTTGCCCCTATGTAAGTCAGAAGCCCCTCTTTATAAATATTTATTTCTTACAAAGAATTTTACTATGGGCTGGAGTCAACGGCGGCGCCAGCCACTAAGCTCTGGGGGAGGGGGGACAAACCAAAGAAATTTAAGCCACACCCTTTTAACCTCCAGAAAATGCCCTTCTACCAACAGAGAACGCCAATTTTATCCGAAGGGAACGCCTATGACTAACTTTTGTTTCAATATTGGCAGTTTGAAAATCATAGGATTACATCACAAAAAGTATGGGGTCAATATATTACCCCTCCCCCGAAATTTTCTCATCGACTTTAGACGAAATACAAAATCGATTCTGCTGAGAACTGGGGGGGGGGCGTAAAGCACAATCCTTGAAATGCTAAGTGTCACGACCCCCTTTCTTTCGAAGACCATACAATGCATGGGAAAACTTTGTTTCCAGCATGTGAGGAAAGCCCAATCAATAATCTAGTATTCTCAAAAAACTCAAAAATCTCAAATAATGTTGAGAGATTTTCTCATAAAACAATAAATCCTTGCCAATCTATAAATTTACAAATATTCCTTGCCAAACAAATATGAGGTTTCCAACAAATTGCCTATGCCACCTGCTCCTGCTTCTAAAGTGCCCCATGCTCTCCACAGACAATAAGAGCATCAATTTGGTTGGAGCTTAGCAAGCTTTCCTTTATAATGATACATATTACAAAAAATTTATCTTGCTGTATTAGTGGTCATTAAAGGCCCACTTGAGCGAAATCTTCAGCAAATTTGTCAGTGATTGGAATGTCCTCTGTTCTTTCTGGGCATGGGCAAATTTGGTAGCAAAATGTGAAGGTTGTAAGGAGTTAACCTTCTACAAAATAGGCCAGTTTCCACTGGAGCGAAATCTTCAGCAAATTTGTCAGTGATTGGAATGTCTTTTGCTCTTTCTGGGCATTAAGCAAATTCACTAGTAAAACTTCTCAGCAAACACAACTTTTTTCTGAAAGGGAAATTTTGTTGAGGAATTTGCTCAAGTGGACACTGGCCTGAAAATAGTTGTATGTTGATAATTCTATAAACTACTTAACTGCTAAAAGGAACAGCATTGCAGAAGTTTCTGACTTTATTCAAGCATTGTAAGATTTTTTAATCCATTGGACTAGAATGTGAATTGATCTTTAAGGACATTACAGTTCTTTATAGTCTTTCTTTTTGCTTTTGTTTTGCAAAAGTTTGTTCCGTTGAAAAATTATTTTCTTTTTGTAGTTGATGCCATCTACAAAGAAACACATCCTGAATATGTGCAATACTTGTACTTGTTGATTCCAGTGTCAGTAGCTCTCTTGAACCCAATTGGATTTTTAATGCTTGAGTTTCATAAGAATGCAAAGGAAAAAGGCAGCAAGCCCCGCAAGTTGAAAATAATTTGGACAGCAGTGAAAGGTGTTATTTCAAATCCGCTGGTGTTTATGGTGATAATGGGTATTGTCTTCAATTTTGTTTTGAATGGGACAAAGTCTTTTACTGGGTTTGACAGACAGCATTGGTTTCTTTCTCCATTCCTCTCGGTTGTGGGAAACTCTTTTGGAGCTACATCTTTGTTTTATTTGGGACTCAATTTGGTTGGCAACATGAAAAGTTTAAATGGATTCACAATTATTGTTCCTTTCCTTCTTGTTTTCTGTAAAAGGTGAGGCTTTTGTTTGTTGTTTTTTCTAAGCTTTGCTCTTCTAAAAACCTGTGTTGTTGATACCTTAACTTTGCATTATATTGATACACTAAGTTGCAAGTGAATCGAATTGTCTGATAAAGACAATAAAAACAATGTTTACACTGAGTAACCTATTAAACACACAAATTGCTTTTGTCAACAAGGGCCCTTTATTAAAAAAACAACAATATATTACACAATATGCATATCATATATCATCATAAATCCAGTTTTCATCTGATTTTGCCCACTCTAAAGCGAGTGGTCAGATAATGACATATTAAACTAAATTTTGGTTGTCCAATTAATTTTTTTAGTCAAACTTGGCAACAAAAGTTTAAAAGCAAAGATAATGTAAAAAATTGAATTATGATTCATTGAGAAATATAATTTTTAAGCAGATGCTGGTTTTAATTAGCTTTAATATAGCTAGTAGTGTATGTTTACCAACTTAAAACAAAGTAAAGTAAATAATGTGATTGAACAAGAGAAATATGTTTTGCCTTGTTGATTTTGTTATCATGCCAAGGATCACATTATTGCTAATCTTTTCAAGGTCCTCCTCCTCTTCAGTCTTTTTATTTGCTCAAACATGCACTAATCTTCTGATTGGCTCCACACAGCTTGTTTGCACAGTTTTGCTTTGTGGTTAAGGATCCCGTGCTACTACCATGGCATACAAAATTTGTTATGCAACCACAGTGAATGCTAACACTTTGACACAGCAAAAATGTGGACAAAAGTATTGAAGTGGGGGTAAAATAATTTGACCTTAGATTTTCAATGGTAAAATAATCTAAAATCAACAAAGTGATCTGGATGATTTTGTTTCTTATTCCTCAAAACCTCTTTTCTGTGTAGCAAATGTTGGTTTTCACCAGATGAAAGATTTGATACAAATGTTATCAGAGTGTTACTAAATCATATCTTAAATAACATGTGTAAGCTTAGCACATATTGCATTAATGTAGCACTTTTTTCATTGTATTTTTGGGGTGGTAAAAGTAGGAGCACAGTTTCTAGCATTTCAGTTCAAGTTTTTATTGCTTGTTTTTTCTTATCTGTAGCCTCATATTCCCTGTGATAGCAAGACAGGCTGTATTCTGGCTGCACAATAATTCATCTGTAAATGATACAAGCTTGACAAGTTTTGCATTCATTTATGGGACGCTTCCAACTGCACCACCTGTTGCTGTCTATTCCTCAATGTATGGAATTCATGTGGATACTGTAAGTTTGATTTTGTTTTAACTTAGCAGCATAAGTTCTGCACTGTCTAATGAAATATGATACCACTGCTACAAATATTTTATCTAACCAAAATTCAAAAAGCCATATAGCAAAAGATATAAGAGTTGTTGGATGACTTTGGGAAGTGCATTGAGGTGAAATAATGAAAATGATAGATACACATGTATTTTCAGCCAAAGCCAAAAAACTGAGCTATGGTGATAGGACTAACTTTAAAGTTTTTGGTATCAAAACCCTTTCTTTTGCATAAACTTGTGAGATATATGGTTCTGAAATGAACTCAGAAATACTTAATGTTTGCTTGGGTTTCTAAGAATGCCCATTTTCATTGCAAGGATATTGCTGTCTATTTCCAAGAAGTGCACCGGCTTGCACTGCCTTTTTGGTAGAGTGGGCAAACAAAACCCACCCTTGCTTCTTTGGTTACAGGCAGTTTTTGTTATTTTGCGATAACTTTTCTGCCTAAGTCTCTGATGCATTTGAAAAGCTGTCTCAAAATAAAAAAGGTCTTTTGGTGTGAATCTTCCCAACTGAATTTCTTTTGCCTGCAATTTGCACTAGCCACTTCTGATTACCGTTACAATTCAATCAAGCCCTTTTCTTGAATAAGCCCCTCTCTCCAACAGCAAGTTTTGAATAAGCCTCTGACAGAGACTTAACTGAATTATAGCGGTACCCTGCATTAAAGGAATAGACAGATCCTGGTGATCAGTTTATCTTGAGGAGTTTATCCTGATGAAGAAGACATCAAGGAGATTATGGATAATGTCAAATATTGCCTATGAGCTGATCTAGAGAAAGTTAAGGCTACGCGAAGGGACATTATGTTCGTTGGTAACATTAAGTGTTGTTATAATACCCAATTAGCCAAATTCGAAATAGATATTAAAAGAGGGACATCTGACTTTATGCAAGTTGAAGACACTGATGACATAGAAGTAATTTTGCTGTAAAAATTCTATTGTACCTAATTTGTTAAAAATTAATTGTATCTTAAATGTGACAACCTCCATCATAGTTTCCAGCAATTGTCTTGAAGGGTTTATTTACATTTCAGATTGGTACAAGCATGGTACTGGGAACATTCCTCTCAGCTCCGATCATGTTTGTTTCTTCCAAAATGATAATGGTGATGAGCTCTGAGAGTGATGAGATCAGTCGTGGTTTTAATAAAGCACTTTTTGACACTGGCATCCTTAGCACTGTTTGCTGCGTATGTTTGCTCTTTTTTTGCATTTGTCTTCTATTCAACTTTTGAATCAGTTTTTTTATATTTTACAAATATAAGGGCATACTATATGACAATGGCTCATAGATTTTAGTGGAGCCATCAATTGTACTCAATGTAATTAGTGGCGTTGCTTGACCTTCCAGACTAGAGGGGTGGAGGGTCATCTATTGTATAGAAAAATGTACAGATGAAAACATAGTGGAGAATAATTTAGGTGCTTTTTCACCTACTGTTAGATGATTTTACCATCAAGCTAAGGATTTTGAAGACAAATTGAAGATTTACTGACGAATTACTGAAGTATTGGGTGTAACCCCCCCCATCTCCCCTAGCTACGCCCCCGGGTGTAATTATACTACATACATTACAATTTATTCTTCTATATTTGTCAAAAAACAAAATTCGAGTATTTCGATACTTCTCTGCTCGAACAAACATTATCATGTCTTACCTTCCCTTTACTTGAGTCTTGCATGGACGCTTGTAAATAAATGAAAAATTGTTTTTGTGGCAGGTCTGGGTGATGATTGTTTTATTCACAACCAAGTATTACAGGCGGCTTCTGCATCAATGCACATTAACCCTCATCGGGTTTCAGGTCTCTTTTAATTAATTCTGCTGTTTGTTGCTATCATTTTGGTAATTGTGTGGTGCTGATTAAATCATTCTTTACTCCGTTTGTCTGCAATCAAGCATTAAATCAAATGTGAATACATTGTTGTTGAAAGGGGTGTAATTTTTAAGATTATAACAACTTTTTTGCTTACTCTTTATTATTTGTTTGCATATTATCGGGTATGTTTACGTAACAAAGAACAATCTGATTATAATGACCACAATTAATTTTATTGTTATTTTATTCTAGTTGTTACCATGTTTTGTACAAGTTTTCAAGTTAGTAATTGTGAACCTTTTCAGCTCCTGTTATCCCTTGCAATGTCATTGTCAATAAACGTATCTATTAAAGACGGGTATCACGTGCTTCTAGCCGTTTTTCTTATTGGCTTGTTTGGAACTACTGTCTGGACAACCTTGGTGTGCTATGCGTTGACAGCAGTGAGGTGCCAAGGGGAGAGCGTTGCTTCACGAAAAAAACCAATTATCTTTATCTGCGGCATTTGGTAAGAATTACCCTTCAAAAGTTTGGAATTTTTCATAAGTTCTCTTGACATTTTTGCAGAGGTAGTAATGTGAGGTATGCAACATTGAAAAATAAAATAGAGATTTAATTCGACAAGTACACGAGAGTTCGAAAAATTTGATTGAGGTTTGAAATGACGAAGTGTCTTTACCCAGCATTTTCAATCTGCAGCAAATGTCAGCGAGCATCAGAAATTGGAATTCAGGGTGATCCACTATGACATTCACATGGCTCAAAGTTTCACCAAATGTCAGCTTTAGATAATTTTTCGGTAAAAAATCAGATCATTCTTGAAACGTTGCTTTATATGCTAAAGGGTTGGGTTCTATTTTATATTGAATTATTTCGGCCTTTTTTATTTAATTTGATGACTTTTGATGATATATCTTTGTCATGAATAAAGTTCTAAGAAAAAGAAATCAAAGCAACTGAGTTGTACTACTATGAAACATTACAGGGGAACTGTCTAGACATTTGAGGAATATGTTTTCAAACTGGCTCTGGATCGTTCTCCTCAAAAAAGTTTTCAGTACCTTCGCAATACTCTAAAAAACCGCTGCACTGTTTTACCTAGTAGCAACAAATCATAATTCGTTATTCGCCAACTTTGTTGGTATCAAAATACCAAGTTTGAAGACTGTGATTTAATTAGGGTTTTCATCTTAATTGTGTTTGTACTTTTCTTTTAGCTTTCCTTTAGCCATCGGCATCAGTCTAGCATTTACCAAGGCTGGATCTGACCTCGAAATATCTGGGTTGCAGAACAATGCTTCTAAAGTGCTCAATCCCTTTTTAGAATATATCAATGGAAACGTAAGTTTTTTCCTTAAAACCTTCATTCTTCATATTCATTACCTTTGATTAAGTATAAGGATGCATCATAGTTACTCTATGACGTCGTAAGCATGGAATATAAGTAATGCCCCCACCCCCCTCAGAGTAAAGTGTAATGGCAAATTAACGCTTGACAATTTTGAATTTGTTCTGTCGTGATATAGTGTAAAGAAGTGAATCATATTTTGGTCTTAAACTTGCTGCATTTGATAGGAAAATTGAACTGAATGCATTTGTTTTGAAAGATAAGACTTTGCCTCAGACATAATGTCTGAAGCTAAAGATGAAAGCAGCATATGGTTTTGTTATTTTCTGATTTCTGCATGTTGTCATTAATTGATTACCTTCTGCTCATTTCAGAAAGTCTACAATTGGTTTCATGGTGTAACGCAAGTGATTTCTCTTCTTTCTTGTGTGGTTTTTTTAATCATCCTGCAGAGGTATGACAAATACTGTCGGTGCAGAGAAATGAGCGGAAGTGACATGGAGCAATTAGCCATCAGCGAAACGGCTGCGGAGGAAGGTTTTAGGAAATCGTGAGCATTCACTGTTTTATGTGTAATGTATAGATTGGGGCTTGACATCTAAGTTTGGTTAAGGTAGATAACCACTGCATGTAAAAAATAAACTGAATTTGTTGAGCTGAGTTCAGTTGAGAACATTTAGTCACAAAAAGAACGTAGTTGAGTTGAAAGCGTTGTAGTAAAGTATGCCAAAAACAATTTTATCGAGCAATTGCAAGCAACTTTTAACGCGCTTTACTATATCACACTCACTCGTTTTTTATTATCACAGAAGAATTAAACAATAAGTAAAAAGGCACATACACGATAAAAAAAAAAAATTTTGATCTTGTATGTATGTTTTTTATTATGGTTTATAAACACATTAAAGATACCAAGTTATCTAAATGTTATTTGTCATGCAACGCACGGGATCTCATAAAACCCTTGGCCCAAAAAGCCAGTGACCGAGAACACAGGGGCGGACACTTGGTCAAATATTGGGGGGGCAAGCCTATTGTTTTAATAAGATGACGTCACATTTCCCATTGTTTTAGAACAAAAGACCACTGTTCTCTAAAGTATTGGGGGGGCGATGGCCCCCCCTTGCCCCCCCCCAAGTGTCTGCCACTGCGAGAACATGATATTAGCATCGTTTTTGTCTTTTTCATTCAGTTGCAGTCGGTGTCAGACCCTATGCGAAAAAATGAAGGATATAGAAGATTATTCCGAGGGTAGCAGCTGTTGCCATCAATATGACGAAGAACAGACACAAAAAGAACTCTACTCGCATGAAAGAGATGAATCACAAAACCCCGACAGCAGGAAAAGAGTTTTCGCTAAGAAGAAAATGTATGGAGCAGTGCCTACCTCTGATACCGGTGATATTCAATACGAGGCACTGAAGGATATCGAAAAGATCACCTTTGAAGAATATCTGCAAGGAGATCGCCACCAGCTTAGTCGCCACGTCATTCTCGTTCTATTTCTGTGTTTCTTCTCAGTTTTGGTAAGTCCTGTTTCTTTCAATCTAAGACCTCGAAAAAAGATTTGCTGGCAATCTTTTATCCAAAAATAAACAAGATCTGTATTAAATCCTCTTTTAAGCTAATTTGTCTTCCAGCACATCCATCTCTAAAGTCATCCTATTTAATATCATTTTAAGAAATGGCAAACGTCTGTCATGATTATGTTGTGGATTTTCAGTAGGCCTTTAAATGTTTTAGAACTTTGAAACATTTAAAAGTTTTAGAACTTTGAAACATTTAAAAGTTTTAGAACTTTGGAACATTTCTCTGTTTTAGAACGTGTTTCTTTGCTTCGAGCGTTTGAAACAAAACTGCCAGGCGCACAGAGCGGGCATATTCTTGGAAATAGAATTCCTTGCAGTCACATGCACAATTGGTCAGGTAAAGCTTCCTTTCATTCAATATTAGACTAGTATCATGCTTTACTCGACAGTATCTCAATCTTTACACTTGAGGTTTCAAACCGTTAGCAAAGTATCCTCTTAGTTATTTTTGATCTTACAACCTAGCATTCAGAAGATCATCATAATTTTCATCTTGCATCAAAAGCTACTTTCTCAATTGTGTACTTATTTCTGGTCGTTTATTTTCATTTTCGTACTTTTCATCAAGAAGACCTGTAAAACTTTACTTGCAATTTAATATTCACCCATTTGGTATCGATCTTTTTTGAAGCTATTTAACTTTGTACCCTATAGCAATAACTACCTGAAAGATTTTCCGACTATAGATTAAGAAGTCTATATGTGGCAATTACAATTTCTTTCTTTCGCGCAGGGTCTCCTGTCCTTTGCTATTTTCGGTTTCAACAAGATATTTTTCAACTTGTTGTCCTTTGAACGGTAGGTATTTTTTTTATTACTATCAACTCCTTTCCTAAAATTCACTTTTTATGTATATGATATCGTTAAACATTGTTTGCGGGAAATAACCTTGAGACTGGATAAATAGATTTAAGGGAGGAAAAACTGACATCCTTTTGATAAGATTATTATAGAAGTGGTGCGAGAATTTAGACCATCTGAAGTACCTCGTTCCTCTCTCGTACGAAACCTGAATTAATCTGTATAATGTTGGTCTATATGGCATGCATGTCATGCATGCATAATTGCAGTTTTGGCCCAAAAGATGCTATTCTACGATGTCTGAGTTTTTTGACACAGTGCCTTATGTTTATCAAATTGGAATTTATCATTATGACACACAGCCATATTTTATCGATGCTTGTGGTACTTTTATTTAACTTAGTCAGAGAACGAATATTTCAATTATATACCACCAAATATCACTTTACAGTTGAAGCACACGTAGCACTCCTGAACAGTGACTGTTGGCCTTGCCATTGCTATTTATATGAAAGGAATTAGTGCCTATCTTTCATTTAGCAAGCAGGACATTTTAAGCATCAAATAGTGATTAAAGGTCTATTCACATCAAGTTAAGAATGGTTGTAGAGACTAGCAGAAAGTGCCAACTGACAACGACAGCTCACCCTGTCGTTAAAGTTTTTAAGCAAACTTACTCAAATTTTTTAATTTCAGTCTCGGCTGTATACAACCAGGATGCATTGCCAAGAAGATACAACTGGAACCATTAGAATATCTTGACCAAACAGTCAAAGATATTTGCTTGAGGTTTCGAGCCCATCATCTCGAAAACTGCAGAAAAGATCTAGTTAGCGACCTCAGGTTTGTCTCAAACAGTGTTCTATTTTGCGCCTAATTTCAATGCGGTAGATCAAGTTCTAAATTCTTGAGAAGTATTTCTGACGTCATTTACTTTTTACTTTTTTCAATTCATTTTTGTATTTTCGATATTTATGTGTTCTGTAGGTTTCACTTCCGATCATACAAGAACGTATTTCGTGGCGATCAAATGGTTGACTGGATCATCGAATTCGGTCTCGCGAATACAAGGGCCGATGCCGTGTACTACGGCAATTGCTTACTTAAAGGGAGGATAATTCAACATTGCGTTAACGAACATTATTTTTATGATTTGCCCTATTTCTATAAATTCTGTTAGGTACAAAAAATACTTTACTCGATATTAATTCGCATATTACCACAAGATGCGAAAATTTTCTAATAAAAAGAGATACAAGTTGATGCTTTTCTAAAGCGATATTTCCAGTATTTGACAATGCTGTGTCCATGTGTTACCTACTTTGCAGTACATTTAATGTACTATAAACCAGTGAAGTAGCCGTAAATTCAGAGTAGCAGCCATTCATTCAGTACTCCGCCATCGGCTTCTATGCTCTTCCTTATCACGTGTGACAATCACATGGATTTTGCCTTCATTAGTTTCAATTCATTATGAAATGCAATATTTCTCGCTTGTAAAGTAAATTAAATTGTAAGTGAATAATGGAAGTTTATTGGATTTTGTATGCTTATTGCGTTAAACGCGTCTGCTTCTGCAGTTTTTTTAGCCGTGGTTATTCTTCCGGCACCGGATCTTATCACATTTTGGCTATTCATACGGTAGGCAAGTATTTGCGCACGAAACACACATAAAAGGCCCTGGAATAATAGCCTGATAACTAGCCCATTTACGTTGTTCACAGTGATTTCTATGTAGCCCATTTGCTTGAATTTTTCAGATTTCAAAAAAGCGCACACAGAGCAAGCTCTGCCATAAACTCAAGTGGCAACCCGACACGATTGTGGTGATCCCCACCCCCACTTTGGAAAAATTCATAGTTTCTATTTGATTTTTCAATCATCTAAGGTTGCTTTTTGGCAAATTTTCATATTTGTAGGCAAATAATGGATGGTACACCAACTTTGTCGGCAAGTTGGATCGGCCCTGTGGTTCACGAAATCGATTAAGCAATATTTCTAGTTTCAGATATCGTTAGCAACGATAAATCACACAGGCAGCCAACATTTACTTCGTTTGTATGAGCCTTGCAGCACCGGCCTAACATCGCTTACAAGGTCTGTCAACGAATCTCGAATGAAATTTTTCAAGACAAAATTATTGGGTGTGCGCAGGCGTCAGACTGTTGTCGTGCGCAAGTAGTTGATGCGCATGCATGCCGGATGAATAGCTGAAATGTAATGAGTTCCGGTGCAGGAACAATAACCACGGCATTTTAAATTATCTTCTAAGTAGCGTTGTCTATTGAAGATCAGGACACATTAAAGCATTAAGAAAGGACACATCAAAGCATTAATAACCATATGAAATTAAGCACCCCTTCCACCACATTTACAATTAAAGCATATCACAAGTCTTCAAACAAGTTATTCATCTACACGCCTGGTCTTTTGTCGCCACAATTAATTTTTGAAGTTAATTTTTTAGCTCAAAACTGCCAATATTCAAATATCAACGCAGGGTAATAGCGAGGCCCCTACGTAAACAATCACTTTAGAAAACTTTAAAGGCACTATGTCCCATCAATCAACCTTTTATAAATAGAGGTATGTTTATAATAGAGTAATTATGTGGAAAATTTTTGTCCGAAATCTTTTTCAATTTTTTGCTGTGAATGAGCAATATTGATAAAAGTTTAAAACGTCGTAGGTCTTGGCATGGCCATGTAGCATTTCAAGGGGAAGCGTAAACATCAATGTAATAATTATTTCCCTGTTATCAGTTTCACGGTCTTCCTTGTACAAAAGACCACGATATATGTATTTTCGTACCTATTGTTGTTTTTGAAACACGTTAAATTGTCACTGCTATGTTTATTTTGTGGGCAGCCTAATTTTATTTTGTGGGCATGTAATTAGTATAAAAATAACTTGCCTTGGGTGAGTTGAATTTGCATTGTTTAACTGTGTATTTTTTCATAAATTTTCGCAGTCTAACCATGAGAGTTAATATCAAATATTTGTTGCTCGATCTTTTGTGAATAGGAACTGATTGATATGTTGAATATCGCCACAATTAAGCTGGTGAACATCGATTGATGTTTTTAAAAACATCAGCAGATATGTTCATTGATTTTGTTGGAAATCTTTGTTTAAATAAAATTCTGACATTATATGCTCTGAAGAGTGTCAGACAAAAAGCTGTCGTATTTTCCAAAATGTTTGCTTTTTAAAAGTCATTTTCGATGCCATCTTCAAAGAGTACTTGTCGTTTCAACTTAATCAAAGTATTAACCTCAGTTTTAACCTCATCATATGCAGTTTTTAGAAGGAACCACTTTCAAAGGAAACTACATGCAGAAAGCAGAAAAAACTAATGAACCGTTTGTACTAAAGCAAAATCCCTAGGCAACTTTTCTATTCTTGTATATTTTTATCATTGCAAACAATCAAGAATTAGAAAGCCAGTTCCACTCATTTGAACATCAATTGTGTTTTACGAAGGTAGCTATCGAGTATCTCTGTGTAATTTCGTTTTTTTTTCATTTTCCTTCTTGATTGAATTTTCACTTTTTCATACATCAAACATTCTTTAAGTTTGTTATTCAACTTGCTTTCTAGCTACATTTAAGAATTTAGCGAAACTAACATAGAAAGTAAAATACATCATGTGCAATTTTCATTGCACCAAATGTGCAAAAGAGGTCCAAAATAAGGAGCTTCAAAAACTAGGTCTTGGGCAAGGTTCCTTATAAAGTAAAAAGTGTGTACTTAGCTTGAGCCCAGGCGAAATTAGTGCAACATTTGGTGCATTCAGTGCAACATTGACGCCAGTTCCTGGCTAGAGACAATCCCTGCCAATAGGCCTAAACTGTGCCTAGTCGCAAAGACCGATACCGCACCCCTCCCCCTCAAAACAATTTTTATTGTAGCGGGTCATCCATAAAGTACGAACGCAGTTTGAGAGCAACTTTTTGACCCCCTCCCCCCTTGTACGCACACGTACGCTTTTCATATACCCCCCTTTTTGCGTACACTGCGTACGCTTATATCTTTTTAACCAAATTTCAAGGTATAATGAAAATAATTGAGAGTTTCCAGGGAAATTCAGGTATTTGTCCGTATTGACCATTCCTTGTTATAATATATGTTAATGCAGTTGTCTAATTTATGCAATCGTGTGAAGCACATCGATGGATGGAAAATACGCAATAAACTTCCCATTAAAATCTCTGCCATATGAACAATGAATGAACAAGCTTGCAAGGCTCAAATTTCCCGTTTAGGAATTTCTTAAGGTACGTACTAAATACCAATTACGCCCCCCCCCTTGTACGCAAGCGTACGATTTTTGGTCGACACCCCCTAAGTGCGTACGTACTTTATGGATGACCCCTTTTTTATTTTATTAAATTCTTATTTCAACACGATATCCCATCAGAAACCTAAATACAAGTTATGATAAGCTAAAAATCTAATAATGGAAGACAAAATTTTAAAAAAGTATTTAATAATAAGCGTGAATTGGATTTGACGTCTGATCTTCCTGGGAGTCGTGTTTTAATTTGAGCTTTCTGAGCTCTTCAAAAGAGCTTTTAATTTTCGTTTGAATTGATAGAGCCAGGGTATCTCCCTTAGTTCTATGGGTATTACGTTCCAAGCTTCAAAACCAGAGAAACGGAATCCTTTTTTTTGTATTCTCAAGCTTAAACTTTGGGATGTCAAGATTTATCGAGATCTTTTGTTTTTTTTGCTATAACTGTAAATTTCAATCCTCTGATTATATTTGTTCCAGAGGCTCTCAGGGCACTGTTTATTAACTATTTTGTGTGTCATGATAGATCTATCAAAAGAGATGATCTGATCAACGCTTAGCCAATCACTGTTCCAGGGGTCATTTTGTTTGGCACTTTCAATAATTGAGAATGCCCTATCCTGTAGACGCTGAAGCGTTTGTAGCTTCGTGTTTGGCAGGCTACCCCAGACAACATTTTCGTATCGGAGGTGACTTTCAGCCAGCGCATAATAAATCTCACATAGTTTCTATCGTGGAAGAATGTGCTTCAGTTCTTTCAACGCAGACAGACCACTTGCTACTTTTCCTTTCAAAGACTTAAAGTGTTCCTTACAGTTGAGATTCTCGTCCACAATAATATCTAGAGGTTTACTTTTTTAACTCGCTTTATTTCTGTGCCATTAAGTTTTAGAGGAGCTAGAGTTTCAATTTTATTTATTCTACGTGGATAGCCGACAAGCATAAACTCATTTTTTTTAAGGATTTGCACTAAATTTATTGATCCTCATCCACTCAGAAATATTTTCTAGTTCCTCACTCATCATTTGGGTAAGCCTGTTAATGTCTTCAGGGACTACTGTCGTGTGTGTATCATCAGCATACACGCTTGCCGATGAAAACTTTAAACATTCTTTAAAGTCGTTAAGGTATATGATGAAGAGAAGGGGGCCTATGCATGAACCTTGGGGAATGCCACTTGTTACCCCTAAGGGCTTGGAACATTCACTATTGATTCTGCAAAATTGTTTACGTTGGGTTATGTAGGATCGAAACCAGTTAATCACATTGCCCTGTACACCATATCTAGAAAGTTTTTCGAGCAATATTTTGTGATCCACTGTATCGAAAGCCTTTTTTAGATCCAAGAACATGGTCATATGGATCTTTTGAGAATCAATATTGTTAAGCCATTCATCAGTACTTTTTATTAAAGACGTGATAGTTGAGTGTAGCTTACGAAATGCATGCTGATTCATTTTTAGCAGTTGTTTCTCTTTGAAATAATCAATCAGCTGATCGTGAAGTATTTTTTCAAGAATCCTTGCAAATATTGAAAGCACGGATATAGGCCTGTAGTTATTCATGTCACCCCTTACACCTGATTTAAAAATTGGGGTCACCCTTGCAAACATACCAGATATTTGGAAAATTACCTGCGGTGAGTGATGAGTTGTATATTAGTGTAAGGGGGAGGGCAATAAATTCGGATGCATCTTTAGTTAATCTGACAGGGATTTTATCTGGCCCGCTGGCTTTGCCGTTTTTCAGCCCCGTCAGTGCTTCTAAGATCTGCTGAGTATCAACTGTTTTGAAATCAGTAATCATAGAGTTATTGTCACTTATTTTGGCAAGAGGGTCATCAGTCGATTTTGTTGCATTTCGTCCGCTAGTTTCGGACCAACCGATTTCGCTATTATTAGTTAAATATTTGCCTTCGTAGTTTAAGCTAGTAACTGATATTTTCGATGAATTTCTGTCCAGCACTTTGTTAGTAGTTTGCCACATTTGTTTAGGATTGTTTTTGTTTAGTTAGACCTGAAAAATGGTCCTGTATTGCGATTCGGACGGCTTCTGTGATCTTGTTTCTTAATTTCTTTATGTTACATATACACATCATAGTGTTACATATCATTGTTATCTGAAATGAATTCATTCGAATGACCATCGAACTTATCGAACTTCTTAACATTGCATAAAGCAATTTTGTTCGGAGGGGAAAAGGGGCATCAGTATTAAAATCTTCAAAATCTTATTGTAGTGTTCCAAGAGGTTTGGCAGGCATAGTAGTTGACACCCGGATGTTCTTCGGGCCTAAAGCAGAATTTGCTTTCAAAGTTTCGAAACATCTATTATGTTGAATATCCTTTGGCTTGTCTGTTTCGTAGCGAAATATTAATGACCATGTTAATTGATGATAGGGATGTTTTCTAAATTCGAAATGAAAACCTTGTCTTCGGCAGGTTTCAATAAATATACATAGATAAATATTTGCGCAGGTGAAGATTGGAAGATGATCGTTCTAATGAACTCGTACATTGCCACGATATTTGTTTGTTAAGTGTGTATATATGAATACACAGGTGATTCATGATAAACAACTTATAGGAAACTTTTTGTAAAATTTGAAATCTAAAATTAAAGCTTCAATTGATTTCAAGCTACTACAGTAAAAACCCGCATAAAGAACCTGTTTTTATAAGAACCTAGAGGCTGAAATTTAATCTGTTTTAACCCCATAATTAAGAACCCCCAAGAAGCTGAAATTTGGAAAGGTTCTTATATATACATATATATATATATATACATATACAGTCGTTGCTTTATTGATGAACCTTGATTACTCTGATTTAGAAATAGGTTCTGATTTTGTAGAATAAATAGTTCAGTCTAAAAGGTTATATAGTGGGCTGACATCACTTTGCATAATAAATGCTTCAATATTTTGACAAATGAATTATTCAATCTAATTAGCCTGATATACAACATCGTTCTTTCCATCCAAATTCTTGTGAATTATTTCTTCAAATCTGGCAAAACAATGTACCAGCAAGCACAAAGAGATCCTAATGGCAAACAGAGTTAGGAGCGGCATGGAGGGAAAATTAAGAATTTTTTCGAAACTTTTGGAGAAAACTGTTTGCCTGATTACCACAAAAGGAACTCAAGCAGAGGCACCTACCCTCGAGGGGCTGCAGAATCAGCTGACCCTCCTACCATCTTCCAAGAGGGGCAGAGGGGGCAAGAAGTGCCTTAAAATATAAACTCCTAAGAAAACATTATAGAATCTCATTTGATGGCTAGTTTAGCAACTCTCATTACGTTAATTTAAATTAGAAATTTTTCGTCAGAAGACGATAAAATTCTTCAAAAACCAACGGCGTCTTATAAGATATTGGTGCTGACAATTTTGCCCATCGTCAGAATGAGGGTGTTTTGCTTAATGCCTTAATACAAAAACACGCTACATGAAAACAATTACTTGATGTAAACTTTATTCTTGTGATTATTATTTTCTTTTTTACACTCAAAGCAGACAATCAACGCCAGCCAATTTATAATTGCCATGATTTCGTACTTGAATGGAAAAAAATTTGTCAACACTTTGCCTGGGTTTAGAGCCTTTCATTGCAAAAATTCCAGCTTTTTAGTTGGAACAGACCCATGCAAATATTCTATTTTGCATCCTAACAAATAATCGATTATAATAGTGGAAAAAATCTACTATTTACCCTCAGTACCAGCACTGCTCCTGCTGCCTTAATCGTGTGCAGGCACCCTTGGACAAAGGATAAGAAAATTGCACCTCCAAGACGCAACTACATATTTTGAAGAATTAATAAGCAACGATTTATTTTGCCGAATGAAATTTGGCAAAAAACCAAAAGCCATACACAAGAATCTTTCAGCCTGACTTTATTGATCTCTCTTCATGTAGGAACCAAAACAGGCAGGTTTCAAAAAGGAAGGTTTTTGTAACATGTTGGTTTTTACTATACCAAACAAACATGGTAATACACGATAGTAGGGTACAGTAATAGTGGTCGGATGTGGTTGAACCGAGTGTGATAATACCATTGCATTCACAACGGGTCAATACCTAGTTGCAAATTGCAAATCGCTACATTTCTTGGACTTCCAATAAACCATGTCGTATCGTTGGTAGCAATTGCATGTTTACATTGCCATCGACATGCTAGTCCTCGAAGTTTCAGAAACTATTGTTCGACTGTATGCAAATAACCTGCTCATGTAAAGACAGCTGGAATAATGGTGTTGGCCACCATACTAAAAAGAATTACTCATTGGTCAATAACTGGTTAGGCAGATTACACTCTGACCAAAGTCGCTTCTAGAACGGCATCATCGGCACATTTTTGCATCATTAGAATACGTAGACAAAATCGTAAAGTCTCGCTGTAAACCAGGTAGAGGTGCATTCTCCTTTACACATTTGTAGCCAGAAACAGCAGGTTTAACTCAATTGAAGTGCATGAAAAAATATTTGTATCGTACTGAACTGTGACCAAAGGGTGAGGAGAAACAACAATGGTATAGGCTTGCAATCACGTCAAGATGCTCAGCAGCAACAGTTCACGATCAGATCTGCAATATTTCCATACAGATGACCCAGGCCACCGAATAGCCGAAACTATTGTTATGGCCATCATATTCATTATTGGGGCGGTAGGTAACCCGGTCACTGCATACACTGTTGTAAAAAATAAAAAGTTACATAACCTACATAATTCGCTGACGATGAACATCATAATCGTTGATTCATTGGCAACTTTCACGATTGTACCAACTCAGATTGCGACTCTTGCATACGGCAGATGGCCTCTTAACAACGTTGCATGCCAGGTAAATGCATTTTGCATCATTGTGCTTTCCACTTGTGCCTTGTGGACCATTCTGTGGCTTAGCATCCTTCGCATTCTCTTAATTTCAAAGCCTACAAAATACGCCATACTGGTTTTGCCAAAGTACATGGTACCAATTGTGGCATCAACATGGATCGTTGCACTTGGCCTTGGCTGCATGCTCTTTGCGACAGACAAGCTAGCATTCAAACCCAAGTTCGCTGCGTGCTTCTTTTTCTTTACGTCAGTTGGCGAAATGTCTGCCTTTATGATACCGTTCATAATTGTTCCTACTGTCATTTTGTCTTCGCTGAGCATCGCAATATTTAGAAAATTAAAAAAGAACGGTAATTCAACCTCTGCACAACTGCAGAAACATTCAGAAGAAAAGGAAATTGCCAATAACTACCTAATGCTGGTTTTCGTTTATGTTATATGTTATTTTCCTGTATATATCATTGAAGCTGAGTCTGTGATTCTCCAAGACGTGCCTTTGCCTCACTTTGTCTACATGTCTGTAACATTCCTTGGATATTTGCCATTTAGTGTAAAAACTCTTGCATATATGTTAACGAAGAAGGAATCCAGAGATAAGTTGCGAAGATTTTTCAGGAAAACAAACAAAGTCACATTTCACGAGGAAAACGAAAGTGGTGTGCAAAATGATCAGGGATGTCCAGCAAACAAAAGAAAGATAATGGGTTCAAGCCAGCTATAACGTCTTTGAACAGCAATTTTACAAAGTTTGCTGTCCATTGCGGACAAACATTGTCGGATAAAGCAAGCATTTAACTCGATATCTTGCAATGTAAAAGAAATCGTATCATTAGTTTAAAAAAGCAGAATAAAGAAAGGTGATAAGACCTATCCATTGATCTAAACATAAATATATTACAATAGACTTTGCAGAAATCTATCGGTTTGCTTAAGATCAACCAAAGCTCCGTTTTACGCCACCACCTTACCCTTCTCTTAGTATTCAGTCTATGTAGTACTTTCTTTGAAACCGTTCCTTCTTTATTTGGTCTAATGGCCCCGAGATAGCTCTTGCTCTTCTAAAGATTTTTCCCCATAAGTATTGTAGTTCGTAATATGTGTTCGTAGATTTTTACTGGATTGCAACATAAAGAAAAAAAGAGTTTAACATAGCAAGTACGGCCTTTTTTCTAAAATGCAGCTCTTTTCCATTTAGATTAATTCTAGAAAATACTTAAGATAATTTAAAATACGTTTATTCTACCTTACTCAATAATAGCAATATCTTTAACGTAATTCAGAAACATTAACATTTTTCGTTGGGCAATCCGTCATTGACGCCCTGGCTCACCATTTTGAATCTGCCAACAAATCTAATAAACAATCAAGCTGAATCATATCAACCGCTATTTCTCTAAACAACTGATTCAAAGCTGAAAGTTTTATATCCTTACATTGTGAACGTGTTGTAATTACTTGGTACCCTGTTTATTCTCATCAACCGTGCTGCCCCTGTGCTTTTTGCTGAAAGCTGAGAACAACAATTTCTCACAACATATTAGCAAGTAGGGGAGTTGAACAAAACTTAAAATCAAGATCTCGAACAAAACCATTTCCAACTTAAATCATTCTAAAAACTAAGATTTGTAGTTGCTTTTTACAAATTCTGACAGCCAGTTAAAATCAAAGTTTTTTCGTTTGTGTGCGAGATTCGAGTTCCATTTTGGTTCCTTGGGAAGAGAATCACCTTCCAAAGGCAACTGTACTTTCACGTTATCTACGGCTCGGCTTTCATCCTCTTCGTCGCTTTCACCTGGAAAAAAAGCATAACCAATTCATTCTAATACAATCAAGGACAATACAGCGCAGTATCAAGTATTTTATTATAAATATTTTAACAAAACATTTGTTTAAGGTTGACCTGAAACGTCGACTCAATTAATGAATTTATGAGTTAGAATCAACACTCACTTTCGTGATCAAGTGAATCTGCATCTTCGTCTTGCTCTCTGAAAAAATTAGAGTCAAGAATGACCAACTTAAATTCAATACAAAAGCCGAACACATTTAAACAGTATAAAATCAGAGTTGGTTTTCCTTAGCTCTCAGTGATTCTTAACTGTAGATAACGTAATAAAAACAGTAGTAGCACATAACAGGACAAGATTTATAGTTAAAGAATCAATAAACAACGTGATGTTAACATAAATGGAGGCCTGGTAGGCAACTGACGAGAGCATTACTATCAAAGGAGACAGAACACAAGGCTATAATGAGCTAAAAGAATGCACTTTTATGTTAGGCAATTTCTCGATCAAAATATCTCTATATAAATCAATTTCATATTCAGAAAATATCTCACAACTTAAAAACTACGTCACGAAGCAACGGTTGCGGAAAAAAGGAAAAGCTTACATATTCGATTCTGCACTTTTCGAAAGGACGGCATTAAATAACGCAGAGCACAAGGAAGAAACTGAAGGCAGCACGTGCGACGGTGTACTGATCACCTGGAAAGATAGTCAAGGAAGCTTACAATAAAACCCCAATCACATAATATCAATACAAAATGGTACGGTTCAAAAGATATTTATCAAACCACTGGGCAATTATAAATGTACTACTTCGATTACAGCTGTGCTACTAATTTCCAGACATCCTTCTGTTGTTTTCAGTAGTCAGTCGAGGTGGGTGGTTGTCGCAATTCGCCTCTTTGCAGTTGATTTTGGTTATATTGTGGAATACAGTCCTTCATAATTCAACTCTAAGAAATAAAGGTACAAGCAAAAAGGAATGGGACAGTTTCTACTTCAGTTGGCTTTGATTAAACGAAGGATCGAATGACACAACAAGCTTTATCTTTGGGCACAATTTGTCCCCAAAAGGCTCAATTTGTAGTCTGGGGGCTCGATTGATACAGCCCAAACCCAAAGGGTACCGAATGATATAGCAACATGGTTCTTATCCACGTTTTCATAGAACAGAATAGATTAAGATTATGATACAATAGATTTGAATAATAACTACCTTTCTTATGAAAGGAGCAGAAGGAAGGCCAGGAGGAAGTTTGGTAACGTCTTCCACTTCTTTTCCTTCAGCTTCTGAAGAAAAAACTAAGTATCTTGAACTGAACAATAATAACTTAAAAAGGAATTAAGTCAACAATGAATTCCTGTTGCTGTGTGCAGCATACTTACGTTACTTTTGTCGCATAATTAACCAAGATATAAATTGTTGGAGGGGGTGGAGTGGGGAGAAACAGGGAAGTTTTCAAAAAAAAGAACTTTGGAAATACAGAATATATTCTAACAGAAGTGTCATTTAATTTAACAGAAATCTCTTCCTCTAAGGATACCGCATCAATTTATGTATAGTTTAAGTATTTTCACTTTCGAAAGGTACCACGAAAATATATATTCTTGACCTGCTGTAAGTAAAATTCGATGCATTGCGAATGAAAACCATTATGCTACGTCCCACAGTCAGATTTAATAACTTCAATCAATTCACTTCAATCAACTGTAAACTGTAAAGTAGTTCAGTCTATTTGTCGGGCAGTAGCTAACTGAATTTGGCCTAAGCCCAGGCTATTCCTACAATTATTTCGGCTTGAGCTGAAACATGCTTTCGCTCGCCATGTTGGAAAGCAACTAGGAGCTTCAAAGTCATAGTCACAGTCACAGTCTTAAACCTATACCCGAATGGAACATAACTGCAACTACTATCACTGAATTTTCCCAAAAGCCAATTAGACCAGAGGTGAGAGGTGAGGTGAGCATTATCACCTGAGCAGGAAATCACAGGGACAGGCATACAAAGGCGAGAGTAAATACAGCAACTCCTTTCCTCCTTTCCCGAAACCGAAATCGACACTCGTCAAAATTTGAGCGCTTACAACTGAAAATTATAAAATAATTACATTTTAAAACAATTAACACACGCGCCATTAGCAGGTCCCAGTTTATCAGATCGAAAAGGAGGAAATGGCACTCTTTGATAAACCAATATTAAACATTGCAAAATAAGTAAAAAACTGAAAAAAAATTAATTGCCCGCAACTCGCGCGCGAGTGAAGGGCTTATAGTCTGCCCCGCGTATAAGTAGCATATGGAAGCTTCAGTTCATGTTGTCAGCACTTTGTCAGCAGATTTTGTCACTTTTCTGCTGCCATGACAACTGTCAATCAATTTCATTGTCAATCAATCGGCTTTGTTGAGGAGGTCGTTAACCGCCACCTCTTTGTGCGGAAGGGAATTATCTTCGGAGAGTTGCTCTGCCAAGACTCTGTTAAAGGCCTTCGGTTTTTTGGCACGAAAACGGTGCTGCATCACAGCTCGGTTCTCCGCAATGGATGGAAGTTTTGATTCGAAGTTTTGGGAATCAAAACCAGTCGAATGCCACACCTTTCTCCCAAAAACTCGACACCGTACGAGCAAAAGTTATGATTGTCGTGATTATAGCCTGTACATCGCTGTACGAATCCTTTATCGCAATCGATTTTAGCTGTACCCGTTCTATCACGTGTCCATTTTCATACGTCTTTGCTTCACGAAAACGCAAAATAAATGTCAAACCCTAGAAAAACTTCATGATTTTCAAAAGGGCGTTGGACTTAAATCAAAGGCAAACTGAACACCAAAAATTCTTGATAAAAAGAATAGTTTAGCATCAACTAGAGCAGCTGTTTTTATAAAATTGTGAAAACCCAAGATGGTGTCTTCTTCGAATATCCTGACCTAAATTTTCAAAACAATCGTTATCAAGGAACTAATTGTTTGCGGGCAGTACTAGCAAGAGCTATTTCTAGTTTAAATTTTATATAAAACATTTGCGGTTACCTTTTGTCGCAAGTGAAGATCGAAAGATACTCTGAAACTCGTTGTTGACTTTTTCTTTTGTCACCTCCTATAAACCAAAAGACAGATGATCACAAACAGTGATTGGTGATGGCATAAAATGATAGGTGATGACTGACCATTAACCGATCAAATCATCAGCATTAACAGTTCATCAGGACAGATCAATCAATCAATCATTTGATCATCAATCTACACCATATACAATACTACACAATTATATTACAGATAATACAGTGCCAAATTGATAACATCTAATAGAAGCAAAGGGAATATAGATTGATTAAGGAGGAGCTCTCTAAGTAGGTAAACTAATCGAGAGAGCCCCCCCATAAAAACAAAGAAACTTAAGGAAAAAAAATTAAAAAAATATTAATTATATAAAAATGAAAAACCAGATGTGCCCCAAAATAAAAGACGGTGACAGATGATAGGTGGTGACATAAAATGATCGAATCAACGATTCAGTGGAAGAAAAAAACTTGTCCTGATTTAAATATAAGCATACTTCAGTCTCAAGAACTTCGTCACTTTTCATTACGCTGTCAAAGCTGTAGATTTCCTAAAAAATAAATTATGAGCTGTTAAACTATAGAAAATGATAGACGTGAAATGTGAAATTCAGCTGCCTTAAATTATGACTATAATGACAATAATAATGACAATCCGTTCCATATTCAAACTTCTGCTCAAAACAATTACATTCATTACTCTCCATTGTGACTATTCCGTTTATTACATTTCCACTACCTGGAACAAGCAAACAGAGGAGAAAAAATCAAAGAACTGGGGGAATCATGAAAGCCTCTGGCTACCACTAGATGAATCACTTTGCAACAAATGAAAGATGAAGCAAAATGGGCGCTGCATTGACACTGAAAAATTGAATAACCTGCATGTTTAGAAAATTTTAATCTCTTTTAAAAGTTGCTAAGAAGCAAAATTTTAACAGAAATATAGGATTTCTGTAATTAGAAATAATAAAAGTTTCAAGAAAGCACCAGTAAGCCAAGGTAAGATCAAATCAGTTGATTTTACCACCAAATATATCTTGATACTACAATCTGAAAACTTTTTCAAGCTTGCCCCAAATGGCGTGTAGTTAAAACGTTTGATATCTGGTCCCCAGTGCAGGCTTCATCGATCCCAAAAAATGAAAACATATTCAAACTGGGTACCTTGTCGGCCGTGAGAATACAGAGCCTTCCGATTGTGCAAAATCTTTTACTTATTTCCACATCAACGTTGTCGACGGAGGAGAAAATCATCGACCTGACTTTTGAAGGGACTTTGCCAAGACTGGCTGCAATCTTCGAAGTGGATGCATCGAGCAGAAACACTGTTAAAACGTGCAGAGTAATTAAAAGATCAACTGGATTTACTTAATAAATGCAATGTTTCGAGCTTCTAGCTTGGTTTGAAGGAATGAAACTGTTATCGCTAGACACTTCAAATTGTCTTGATAATTATGAACAATCTTTTATTCTTTAGATTTGGTTGCCTCAACCAGAGTAGTACAGGCAATTTTCCCTTGAATTAGAAAAAAGTTTCCTTCACGAGATAATTCATGCAAGAAATATGGTCAGTTGGAGAAAATTTACTCCATAAGATTTCAAATTTTTTTAAGCTTTTGACGGGCAGTGGAAAACAACGAAAAAAATGCTTACAGGCATTCAGCAAACATGAAATCTTGACAAATTTTTTTTATGCAATTTGAAACCAAATCGACAACAGCTTGGATATAAAAGGCCAACATAAAAAAGTTGAAAAACACACAGGGAAAAAAACAAACAAACAAGATTGCAAACAAATGCTGACTCCTTTATCACTCCTTTAACCATTCTAAATAAAAATAATGATGGTCCTGAAAGAATGAGAAAAAAGCTTCGTTTACCTCTGCTTTTTGAGCCCGACTTCATTGCAGAAACTGCCACATAGCCAGAGAAGGGGTCCACGGTAAGGCAGGTCACTTGCAGATCCAAACTCCAGCACATAGAACACGAAAGCAGGTTCCAGCATATGAGATAGTGCGTGGTTCTTGCAAGCAAATAGGGCGCAGATGTGCCAGCTCCAAAGATAACATTGCTAACAACAAATAGAATAACTGATTGAGCCCAGGATTTTGTCTCAAGATCATTGATTTTCTAAATTTTCATTATAGAAACCACTGAGGGCAATTGTGGGCAAAGATTTTTTGCAGTTAAGGTCTTAGAAGATATTTGCAGTTAAGGTTGCATTATATTAAGCAAAATCGGTAGTTAAACCATCCACTGATAGTCTGTAGGTTATTCTTTTATCTTCTTAGTGTTAAGGGAATTCTTTTAGCAAGACATACCTGAAACGCTGATCTTGCACTGGACAGTAAAAGCGCGTTCTAAGAGATCCAAGCTCAGAATCCCAAAGAGTTATCACCTGGCCGAGGAAAATTTCAAATGTTAACTTCTAGACAAAAGAAGGCATCAATCTGTTAAGTAAATGTTTCATGCTACAAGGATGAATGCAGTGCATTATAGCAAAGATTTAACAAGCTACAGTCAGAGAAAATAAATGCAAAGTTGTCAACGTAATTAAAACATTTTGCAAATAAAAACTATTAATGTGATACAATTGCCAAATAAGTATTGCAGTGTAATTATTTTCTTGTGATTATGGCAAAGAACAATGTTACCCAGAACTAGAGGCAAGTGAAACGAGTTCAGCTGCCTCCAAAGCTAGTTGCGGGAGTTTATATTGCATTCTTCCCTTGCTGTTCATGCAACAATATTACATGTCCAGTTACACTGAATGCGCAATTCAAACTCTGCATCAACGGAGTACAGAACAAAAATGGTAATTAAAAGAAAAAGGATTAAATCTAAAAAGTGATTTGTGACTATTTTACATAAACTGATCATTTACCTTGCTATAAATGACTGCCAGCAGGGAACCATCTTCTGAAAAGGCTGCTTTTCCACACGGCCAGCTTCCAAAAGTGCAGGAGTACTGGCATTTCCAGGAATTCATCTTGTTGTATCCCATCATGTCTTGATTGGAATAAGAACATAGAATACAATGTAAAAACCTATAAATCCAACAAGCAAATAGTGCTTTTCTGCTACAGTCAAAGAATGTTGAAAGAATTCAAAACATCTTCAATGGAAATAAACTGTTTTGGTACATAACTATCATGGACTACTGTAAAGCACAAGTAAGACGTTTACCAATCTCTGAAGTGCCATTGGTCAAGACAAAATTAAATTGCCTCAAAGAGGAACTTGTTATTCATAACTTAAAGCAGAAACTCTACAAAAGAGAAATTTCTGCAAAAAAAGTTACGAATTTTGAATTTTGCATTCAACCCTTACTGAACATAGGATGAGATCACAATGGCCAGTTACACGGAATGCAATGTTTTTTCCTGGTAAGACCAACTGGCTTTACTGGTATTAACTGGTCAAAAACCAACGTTTCTGGCTATGACAAGTGTCGCACGGAAAGGCTTCTTCCTTCCCGCATGAGTTATCACAGCCTTTCCATCTTAAAGCATAAACCACAATAACAAAATAAACTAAAAAGAAATTAAATATATTAAATTCGCTCTTAAACTTTTTAAAATTGTCATGATAAACATAAATTAATTCAGTCTGCAATAATCAATCTAAACTTACCATTAGAATCTGGAACTTCGAAAGTCCAGATTTTGAATTTTCCATCAGCAGAGGTAGTGACGGCCATTTGATTAAACCTAGATACTTCTGCTTCTGGTCTCACCCTCAGCGAAGTGATCTTACTTTCATGAGGACCATCAGCAACTGTAATTAGGTCATACCTTAAAATTAGACAAAATAGAAAATATGAGATTCCTGAAAGCATATTCATGTTCAGAACTCTCAAAGCCAAACCCCGAAGTCGGGTGGGTGTTATACAACGGATATATAAACACAGAACTAAGCGCAGAGAGAACTGAACAAAAGCTTTTTCAAAGCTGTGAAGCGTCAACTACCGAAAAAATTAAAAGTTGATAACAGAATAAAACGTGTGTTTAGAGATATCATCTTAACAGTCATCTAACTGCCAAATCATACACCTAGGGCTTTCATGGAATGCTAAGAGAATGTTGCTCCCTTGGGTAATCCCGACCAGCAATTTTATTGTGCTAATCAGGGACCAAAGGAAGTATTTTATCTTGGCAACTATTTGACTCATTCAGAGATTTTCTACTTTAAATGAGCTTCGAAAGTGCCGATTATCTTCACGTGTTAAACAAATTCAGTGTTTTTGAAAATGGTCTTTTTATAAAGTTTGAAACCTATTGGGGACATTTTTTTAAGCGGAACAGACCCAAATAACAAAGAATAAATTTGCAATGAACCTTTGGTCTTCTAGCTGGTAATGCCAAAATTTTAGTTTGACTTCATCTGGGATCAGTTGATAACTTCCTCTTTCAATCTGAAACATAAATTAAAGGCGCATGAAACATTGAATATTGATGGAGGCAACCTGCATACCAAAACTTTTATACTAATATAAAATCTTTGCACAGAATGCAAAGAAATTGACGTTGACAGCAGCTACCATTTTTTTCATCAATAAGCAGGACTACTTGGATAGCTCTGAACAACAATATCAACGGTTTGTCAAATTTTCAGCTTAGATGTCGGTTTAAGCTGTCTAGTTTATAATAATGTATGTTTGACACGACCCCTGAAAAAAGTTCTATGGACTGATGGGGCTATCGATTTAAATTGAAATGAATTGAATGAAAATGAAACCCTTATCAATACTATCGCCTTTAACATGCAATTCATTTTAATTCTCACTAAAAGTGCAAAATAATGTGATGTTGAATGCTAAGAAACCCTCTTAATTCTCAGTCACAGCAACTGGAGATCCTAGAAAGAATGTTGCTCCCTTGGGTAATCCCGACCAGCAATTTCATTGTGCTAATCAGGGACCAAAGGAAGTATTTTATCTTGGCAACTATTTGACTCATTCAGAGATTTTCTACTTTAAATGAGCTTCGAAAGTGCCGATATCCGGATCGAACTGTAAACGAAATACACAATGGATAACAGAAACATGCCACTTGGCAGAAGCAAAAAATAGTCGTACCGTTACTAGCCAAGAGCCATCGTAATTAAATTCGAAGCGCTCTACAACAGACATGTAGCCAGCATTGCCAACGGGTCCAACGACGTAATTTTGACAAGTAATATCAACCTGTGTACAAAAAGGAAAAGGTGCCTTAACAAGCAATATCATCCCTTGCATATCAGGAACAAATGTGCGTTCTAGTATAATTGTGTACTTTTGTATCACTCGTGAAGGGGAGATGATGCAGGCTCGACAAAGCAATCAAATCTCTCTCACACCAGATAACAGTTGTAAACCATGTTACATCGATCGAGGTACACCCGAGCGAGTGAGTCACTGCTAAAGGATACTTTGAAAAAACTCACAGTCGTTAAAATTGAATCTTCTTGTGCGTCATAAAACTGCAAATGACCGGGCGGAAAAGACGGAAGCACTAAACAACCAGTGCGAGGATCATGCTTTATGCCAGCATTTATGTTGGTAACTGCAAATGAATGTTGAATATGCAGTCAAAAGACTGATTACAAAAAGCTTGATAATTTGTAGGTGTCTCTGATCGAAGCACCTGACAAAATGGGCACTATAACAATAGGCAGATATCGAAATGGGCACATAAAGCAATGTGCAACTATCAACATAGGGAACTAGCAAAATTGTAAAAGGGGAAACCTAAGAGAATGGTCACTTGGCAAGAAAAGTATCAAGCAAATGGGCATCTGGCTAAACTGGTACCTAGTAGACTGAATTTCTAGCAAAATGAACTCCTAGCAAACTGAACAAGGCATTCAGCAAAATGGGCACCTACTAAAATGGGCACCTACTGAAATGGCACCTACTAAAATGGGCACCTACTAAAATGGGCAGGAGGGAAAAGGCATCTAGCAAAATGGACAACTAGCAAAATGGACAACTAGCAAAATGGGCAACTAGCAAAATGGGCAACTAGCATGATGGGCACTTATATCAGTGTCAAATCAGAGAAACCAGTCAAACGAAAATTTCAGTCTAAAATAGGAAGATCCAGAAAATTCACAAGAAACCTAACGAAAAAAAAGCTAACGACAAGAAACGTGGTAGGGGATCAATAAGGAAGAACCAAAAGATGCTTCAAGGCTAAAAAGCCGACATTTGGTAAAGCCACGCATAAAATCAGCTACCAAAAGGTCAAATTATTTTGGTATTAAATATTTTTCTTGATAACACGCTTTTCTGCTGGGAAGTCATAAATATATGTATATATATATGTTCACTGTCTTTTTTAATATTACTGTGGAACACACATAAATTACACATAAATTATACATTTATAATACACATAAAAAGAACAAAGTACCTTCTGCAGAGCCTTGAAGTACGCATATACACAATTTCTCTACCAATGAGAATATTTTTACTTCTGCAGAGAAGAAGATTTCTATAGTTAATCATCTTATAAACATTGATAGAGAATGTGTTTGAGAATGTGTTTGCACCTCACAGATTTAAAAAAGCTAGACAGACCTTAGACAAACTGAATACATTGTAAACTACCCAAAAACATTGGGCAACCTCAACAGTCATGTGCTCACGTTTCTGGTTGACCTATTTCGATATGCCACAACTGGATATATATATTTTCTAGCATAGAGTTTTGGGTCTTTGCTCTGACATTTTATACTCTGAAGAGTGTTAGACGAAAAGCACAAGTATATGCAAATGTTTGCTCTTTTCAAAGCCATTCCCCAAGAACATATTACCGAGGATGCAAATTTTAAGCTAAATTAGTATGCATCTATAAAAGTTATATAAAACAAATGAAATACAATGAAATACACAAGCCTAATATAACCAAATAAAAAAAGGCAACTCACTATTGTTGCTTAGCGTAACAGCAACTAGTGTGTCATCACCAGACAATGTAATGTGTGTAATTGTTGCACCTAATCTTGGCAAGAAGTCATTTTGCATTGATGACAGTTGCCAGGTAACCATTACAGCCTCTGGACCACCAGAAAGTAAATAAAGGCCTGCAATAAAACTGACATACATTAGAAGCAGCAACAGAAATCACAACCACAATATGTGATATCTTCAGATGTAAGAGAAAACATTTCCTTATTGTTGTGCTAAACGACTCTGTTGGGCTCTGCTTCACTGATACACCACCAATCATTATTACTTGTCCAGTCCCCGAACATTTTCACAGTTAACTGGCAAACATCCGGCTAAGTCTTTGCAAACATGTTTGAAATTATCTTTTAAAGTGTTGACGTTGCTTAAAACATGATTTTTAGTTGCTGAAGCTCGAAACTCAAGCAGATTGAAAGCTTTAAGGTGATGATTTGTGAATACTGACTCAATACTCACCATCATGAGAGAATGATAAGCTACGAAGAGGATGTGGGTGCCAATGTAAGACTGTTGTAATTGGTGATTTGGCGGTAAACAGCTCACTCCTGCAAATAAATTGACAACCACAATGAATTATCGTATAACAATTATGCATTTCATGAAAAGGAGAACCAATCATTGTTACCATGGTTAGCCAATTTAACAGGTATTTTCAGAAAAATTGGCTTTTTGAGCCTCAAGACATCTGTCCAGCACACAATTATTATTATCAGCTATTAACAGCCATTTAGAGAAGCCAACTCAACAAGAAGCTCTTTCAGGCTAATTAATGTCCTTGGTTTTCCTTTCTCCTTTTGCTTTTTAAGGTATCATAATATCTTTTTCAAGGCACCTAGACCTTAAAACTTTGTCAAAGTTTTTATTGATTTTTCCTGAAATAGAATTTGATTTATAACATTGTGTGCATTAAAGTTTTAAATTATTCTAATCCGTTTAAATTTTCTGTTTAATGTATATAAGCTCTTTTATTCTAAGGACATCATCAATCCGCCATGGGCCACAATCAACCAATGGTAAGCAAGAGCACAGAAAAATTTAGGCCATTTGAAATGCTTTTTTCCTGCCAATGCGAGGCTAGTGTCATGAATTGCATATATACAATCAAAACCAATTTTAATAAACCAATTTTGAAAATTGCAACACGAGCAGCAAAGATGTTCATCACGAAAAAGGTTTTTTTCCGTTTATCACTTGGACACATTTTATTTTCACCATCTTTATGACAGCACTCTTTCTTCACACCTCTAAAGAGAAGGAGTCTTGATAGGGTAAGTGTCATTTCCAGCAATCAAACTCAATAAGCTTGGTAAAACATGACAAAGAAGACTAAAATATGACAAACCACAAAACAATTCTGCCCAAGGAATCACCAGTGGCAAATATCAACTTAGAAGGATGGCTTGTGATTCGCAGAAGCTTTTCTCCATCTAAGCTAAATCTGAAATAAAAACCAAATAGGGAAATGACTTGTTTTGCAATTGGAACTTCAAATACTAAATATGTAAATCAAGCAAAAATACTCATTCACAGGATTTAAATTAACTAACAAATAATGCATTAACATAGTAAGATTCTTCTACATATGAAATTCTTCAGTTTCTGATGCTCATCAAACACCAGCCATGTTAAATATTTTAACATCTCCTTTCCATGCCACAAAATAAAAGCACAGGCAATGTTAGAGAGCTAAATATATGAATATATGAAAAGCAAATGGCTGTGATTTGTTAATATATCCAAACTTCAATCCTAATAAATAAAACTCCTTAATTTTATCGTGTCAACATTCCCATCATTTGCCAATTAACACAATACGATTTTTCTGTTCTACATGTTGAACAAGTCTACCAATTACAGTTCCATCCAAAGTCTATTCACCATTTCAGGTTTCCGACTGTATTAAATTTAATAGTAATAATGCTGGTACTCACTGTCTTTTCTCTTTATCCACAGATGAGTAAACTTTTAACATATTCTTTTTCAGATAACCAATGACATTGCCCTGCAAGATTTTTTGTTAAATGACACTTTAGATTTAACAACAAATCACAAATCTATTCTGCATCCTGTCAAAACAGACAAAGTTTGATTGCTTCGAGAAGCAATCTAAATATATTTGCAACTAACAAAACAAATGAAAAACTCAAATAAATACATTTGGTCGACAAAGTGTACAGACTTTTGCCGGTCAGTACAAACATTTTGCCCTAAACAACGCAAATCAACCTCTTCAAAACCTTAGTACATAGGGCACTAATGTTCAACTTACGTCATAACTGATAGCTATCTTCTTAGAACTTGATGCCACTGAACATAAACTCGTACAAATAAGATTTTTCTTTGCCTTTTCTTTTTCAGCTAAACGTAACTCTACTTTCAGCAGTGAGTGCTTGACTGCATGTTTTTCTGATGAAGGAGGAGAGCTTTTCATTACAGAACTCTTACAATAATCATGCCACTGAAATATTATCAATGAAAAATATATCTCTACATGGCAACATACTGTTTCATGGGCTCCGACGCAGGTTGGAAAGTGGAGGGGCCAAGAGAAAATATAACATCACAACAAAGGTTTTTAAAAAAAGCTCTATTGTTTTGAAAAAAAGTGAGGCCCCCCTCTTTGTCAGAGGCCCTGTGTTTGCAAAGAAATCTAATGATCACTAGGTGTCCTGAACAAATCTAAGCTATATTTGGTTGCTTTTTAGTGCCATTTGTTCACCTTTCATCTCACTAGATATCATATCAAATTTGCATGTCTTTATAGCACAGCAAAAAATAACATAGTGCTTGGGACTATCTCAACAATCAAGGACACAATCTCCTTAATAGATGCTTGGAGGCCTGAATGTTTAATCCAACATGACCCTTCAAAAATAGAAAATTAGAGACTATATAATTTAAAAGCCAAAACATCTACATTTAATAACTGGAATGCAGGAGGTTTGCAGCTTTTTTACAATCTTAGAAAACACAGGTTTGTCTTTGATTGAAATTGATAAAGACCTATTTCCTCACCACTTTTAGAGTTCAGCTCCTTCTTGCTAATAAAGATGATATCATCATCCATTGGATGCTGCATCATGCTCTTTATTGATTGCTTTATCTTAAGAGTCTAAAAAACAATACTTCATGATGCATAAATTTGGATAAGTTCTCCCCAGCTTGCCTATTTTTTTTCTTCTGCTAAAACATGTTTATTTCAGTTTAGTTAATTTTAGCTTAACTTATTTTGGTAGAGACTTTCAAACATTCAAGAAATGTGATATATAATCCAGGGGTTCTGTCATAGTGTGTTTGGAAATATTCTCTGGACAAAATTGACTAATTGATCCAGATAATACTCAATCTGAACCTCACCTGCTCTCTTTTTAACTATTGTTATGCATGCATTCTTTTACCCTTCACAAGTTCAGCATAAATTGCATTTTTGCACTTTGGATTTTAAACTGTAATTTTGAGACTTGGAAAAAGAATTAATGGCTAAGAGCAAAGGCTTCTTAGATCAGAAACTCAGAAAATTCATTGCACATGCCCTACCAATCTAAAAAGGTTCCATTTCTGCACCTGATAGATAATTACTTGCAAAAAACCTTCTCCTGAAAAAACTCTAAGTAACATTTCCTGATACAATGGCATAAATCTTAGACCACTCTTACCTTTACAACTGTGCCTTGCAAATAGTCCCATATGAATACCGAGCCACCTTCATCAGCAGAAAGCACCTTGTAACGAAATTTTAAAAAACCACTTTTATTGTTTTGAAAAACCACTTTTATTTATTTAACCATTTGAAGATGACAAGTTTTATGTGGAAAGACAGGGGGCATAGTTTGGTATGTTATTTACTTATGGTGCACTTGAATTGTTTGAATTCCAAGGCTTTTATTAAACTATTTTTCCATAGTTAGAGTTGGCCAATTAACAATATATATATATATATTATATATATATATATATAAATATATATATATATATATATAGTATATATATATTATATATTATATATATATATATATATATATATAGATACTCAATAAAAAAACAACTTGGTTGACGTTTCGCTATAAGCTTCTTCAGAATAACTAACACATACATCTGGAGCGTAAAATAAGGAATACGGAACAAAAGAACAAAAAGTAACACATTTTACAAGCAAGAACAATAATAGCTAATTTAACAACATAATGATAGTTTCTAAGCACAGCCGGAGGTGAGAAAAGATGGATAAATACAATAGATCAAAGAACAATAGAACAAGTGTGATAGCAGATGGTATAGCATGCAGAAAGGTCCAAGGAAAAGGAACGGTAAATGCTGTCTGTCCCAAAAAAAATAAGAAACTAGGTAAATAAATATAATAAATATAGAATGCAAAGAAAAGAAAGAAAGTAGATAGAAAACGTGGAAAAAATAAAAGTAAAAATAAACAAAAGTAACAAGGAGAAAATAAACAAAAAGATAGGAAATAAAAATAAAACTATGTGTCAACTAACCTAATATTAAGGCCCCGGGGCGCAAAAGTTTCTAACTTATACTGCCAGAAACTTTCACGCATCCTACCATTCCCATTAAGTCTATCTATAAAAGTAACTTTTATATCTTCGAGAAACCCATGATGATCCTTCCCTGCAAAATGCCTTTATATATATATATAATATATATATATATATATATATATATATATATATATTATATATATATATATATAATTGTATAATATAATTATATATTTATTGACTCTATCCAGCTCATCTTCAATTTGAAAATAAGGATGTATGAGGCCATATGATAAGCTAGATATGAAGATGTTTCTAAGGATAAAAAACCCCTCTTAGGGGCCATTGAAAATTGATGATAACAATATGATTGTTACAATTTTTTCCAAAAGCAAGTTCTTTAACAAAATTTTTTATCCTTCGTCCCCTCTTAAACACATAGTTCTGTCAACTAAAACAACAAATTTCTATCAACGAACCCTTTTTAACTAATGAATTATTGTCAAATAAGACTATAGAGTAAAATATGAAATATACTATAAAAAATGAATGAAGAAATACATTTCCCTTTTTGGACATTCGTTTTAAAGACGGTTTCTAGCCCCTTTTCCTGTGCTAACTTTCATGTTTGTATGCCCTTTACTGAGGCAAAGTGAAAACTTGATCTATTCATGATCTATCTTGGTTCTTTGTTTTATCTTGGTGCAATTCAATGAAGAATTAAACACATATATATATGATATAAAGTAAAATGATTTATGTAAATAAACATATATATATATGAAGAAAATTAAAAAATTGTACCTGTGTTGGATATTTCTTTCTCAAATAGAAATTGACTATTTTTCCATCATGCCCTTTCAACTTTCTCAGACATTTTTCAGTTTTTATGCTGTAGACAAGTAGCACTTTTCCACAGGCACATATTGCATATCTAAGGGCAATGAAAATTTTCATCTAAATTAAAAACATTTAAATTCCTTGTTTGACTGTTGCAGGTAATTTTACACGTATTTGCAAATTATAAGTGTGGCTTTTTTTATTATGTGACTTGGAAGATTGACAATACAATATGGTATTTAAATACAAGTAAAAGCACAAGTCAAAGGTCAGAAATATGCACTTGCTCGTAGACTATTCATAGAGCAGTGCCTGCTGCCCTGCCTTAAAAGATGTTCATCTGTAGCCCTTTTGGCACCAGAAAATGCCCTTTTACCAACAAGGAATGCCAATTTTACCTGAAGAGAATACCCATGACTAATTTTTGATTAAGCAAGAGCAGTTTGAAGATCATAAGATTACAACACAAAAAGTATGTTGCCAAATATTATCCCTCTCCCAACATTTTCTCATCAAATTTAGACAAAATACAAAAATTGATCCTGCCAAAATTGATGTTGAATAAGCTTGTCTATAACAAAAAATCAGATATGGTGTATCTTCTTGTTTTGAGATAGAGAGATTTCAACATGTAATACTGCTATTTGTCTCGCCCCGCAAATCTTGTGTTAAGACTTTCACCTATTCCATTCATTCTATTTCCTCGTTTTAGTCACAGTTGTTCATTTGTATTTCCCTCTAACTTTGCCCCACACGTGTAATTGCATCTTTGTTAATATACACATTAAGGAAGTAACGCTTTTGAATAATTAGACACACCCTGTATTTATGTTAAGATTCAAATACACCCTGTTAAGATTCAAACACTGCCATTGGCGTAACCTTATGTATTTGTATCACCCTTATGTGCATTAACATATTAGCTTACTACCTGTTATCATATAGACAGAAGATAATAATGCATTACCATATATGTAAGTTGGCAAGTGAGATTTAAGAAATACATAGAGGCACGAGCCGGTACAGATACAGAGAGAGATGTGAAGATGCACTGGAACAAACTAAGGCTACGACAATTTAAACTGCGCTGGGCCTCGTCGCTGTAAATTTTGGACAGACTGTACTTGATAAAAACTGTGCTGTGCCATGTTGATAATTTGGGTTTGCGGAGAACTGAGGATATGTATTACTGTTTTAGCTGAAAAGTAAATGTTTAGCCTGGAAAGACTGCATAGATGATAACTGAAAGAAGATGGTTAGCTGCTCGCCAAATTTTGTCATTCCTCATAATTTTCTTTGCGGAGGAGAGGTGGAGAGGAGGGTGCAAATACTCACAAAGGCAACTCTGAACACTATCAATTAAATTAGGCCATCGGGTCATTATCACTAAAAGAAACATTTTGTTCTCCTTAAAATTGATGAAAAGAAGCTAGACGAATGATTGATACTTGCAATTCAAACTACATATTTTTGCACATGAGCGGTTTCTTTATTCTAATCATGCCTCTCATACTAATTTCACCCTGATTCACTGGTGCTGACGAGAGATTGATGGCCTGCTCCATGCCAGTCTCCAGCTCGCTTCGGCCCATGAATATCATACCTCTTGTAAGTGGCCTTACCTCTTGTCTTTGGTTAGTATTGTTTGAATTGAGTTCAAGAAAGTTTCATTGCATCTTTTCTTTCGGAGACCTGGATCTTGGTTTGATGCAGATTCAGGCTTGCCACCGTCTTCTGTCGCCATATTGCTGAAGGGGCACATGTGCTGTTCTGTTGAGCTCGTAATGCTTTATGGGATAGTTCAGAAATATCGCTGATTCCTCCCTGTCAGGAGAAATTTATCCAGTTGGGAAGAAGATGTTTAATTTTTTTGGTTAACTTTTTTTTACAAAAAAGCACCAATGAGCTAATGACGGCATTTTAAAATATAATTTTTCAAATCTGCACCATAAAAAACATGTAACACCATCGGGGCCGCCGAAAGGTTTTTGAGACCCTGAGAAGTTTCTGAGAGGTTTCCGACCACGCTCTTTAGATTAGCTTTAATTCATTCATTCGTCTAAAATGTTTTGCTATTTCAAGGCTTAATTTTGTTTCTTTTAATCAACTGCTTATTGAAGCAGAATTGATAACTTCATGAGTTCCCCTAGAGCTCGAGGCCCTTGGGCAATCTGGCCCTCTCCCAACTTGTCGGCCTTAAAAGCTATGAAAAAATGGTAGGTCTCTGCTGGCAATCTCTCAGAATTTGCATTTGAAGCTTCAGTGAAGTCGTATGCTACTGTTTTAGCAGGAATCGAGGGTAGTGTAGTGACCCTTAGGGGGGGGGGAGCACAGCTTGCAAATTTTCCGACAACCAGTTTCAATTAAAATTATGACTTCATCAAGCGCATGCGCAGTTTTTTATAAATGTAGAAAGACATGCTAAATTATATGTATCTTTCACATTATCACTTTTGATGATTTCAATAAGTCGGTAACTATTCCCAAAATGGCCCTCGGCCCGTATGTTGGACACCCCTGATATATCTTTCTTGGCCCATTGTTGATCGCAGCCTTTAAACCGGTGCACTCGCATTTTGCCATTTCTTGTACAAATGTACAGATTTCGATAGGCCCCACTGTAAAATAAATAATCAGGAGTTTTACTGTCTTCAGAATACTTTCTGTTTATATCTACCTCCTTGTTCTGAATAGCACGTTTAAACTTTCTTGCTTTCAAATATGAACTGCAATTATTCTTTTGCCGAACAGATACGAAATTTCCAACAAATTGCCGAATGGTCGATGATAGGGGGCATGTGTCTCTCTGCCCCCTCCCCAGGCCACGACGCCCTGTGCTTTAGGCATTGTTCTACCGAAGAAAAGATGATATAAACTAGGAGGCACTTAAGGACCTCCTTTTAGCTATAGAGCCAGAATGAGGCAAAAAAACTGATCTATAAAAATACTTCTATTCATATCAGAAGCAAAAATTCGAAACAAAGATTTTTAGCATGATCCATAGTTCCTATAGCCTGTGCTCCAGAACCCTACCTCCAGAACCCAAACCCTAATTTAATGTGCAGTGAAATGAGGGCAGGAACTGATTAATAAAGAGCTAGGGTATGCAGTTCGGCGGCCGCCTGCCCTAGATGTATCTCGACGCAATTCGTAAAAATGTAGATTAGAGTAAATCCACTGTGTAGATTATAGAGAAGCAAAAGATGGAGTTATAAATGCCATTTATCATTTTTTCAGCCTGAGTACCAATACTGGAGGGAGGGACCGTGCGAAGGACTGCCTTGCAGGCTCCATGGAGCGGGCTAAAGCCCACCAGCCCCCCCCCCTGCTCCGCGGTGCCTGCCTTGCCAGGATACCAATTTGGCCTTGATGTGGTTTATCAAATATTCATATATTCGACAACATTAAATCGTTATAAAGGATCTGGGATTGTTTCTTGGTTCAGAAATTGTGCTCTAATATGAACATGACATGGGCGACAGGATCGATTATAGAAGAGGCGCTTTTTATAGTGCAGATATTGTATCTTAAGTAAAAAAAGACGCCTTGAGCTGCAATACAAGTAGATAATCGTTACGGCCATTAAATTTTATGAATTTATATGCGCACCATAGGCAGAGTCGTTGCCACCAATAATTTATTGCGGGGACTCACAGCATAATTTCTGACGTCAGCACTTTCTAACAACAAAGTCAAAACAACGCAAAACGAGGCCCGACTCCAGTCTGCTCTTTTGCCCTCAACCTTGACTAAAGGTATTAAACATAATGTATATATTTCATCTATTTGATATCGTTCTTAAAATGATGATTGGGAAAAAAGTAATACTTTCATTGGTATAAACTTGATTTAAGTATGTGCTTTAGATGTTCTATTCAGAAATGGTAGAAAATCCTGTTCAAATATCACGATTTCACCTATTAGATTTCATTAAAAGGCTACGCTTTCGGGGGCTTCTCCCCTGGTCTCTCACAGGACCGGTCTGTTGACCCCACTAAGCGCCGCATACCTACTTCAACAATTCATGCTACGCCAATAGATCCATCACGCATCAACCTGTGCTTAAAATAAGTTTAAGTCTAACTAGTTATCTTGTTGATAAATAAATCAGTCCATAATACATTCTTGAGTTATTTCTCCGTTTGTTTTTCAATTCCAACGTAGTAGACTAGATTTTGTGATATAGTGCTAGAATAGGTTTTATGTAGCTGCCTAGTTCTTGCCTTAAATACCAAATCATATTTAGTAAGAGAATACATGGTGACAAATAAACGCTTAAGTGAAAATGAGGATTATGTGTGTAGTACGAGAACGAGGCTCGAAACATTTGAGTAGTTAGAAAAGAACAATTTTTACCACTCTTAGTGCTTTCTTTTCTGTTATAGAGAAGCATTCGAAGTTCCTATTCCAAGATTCACGCTTCATACCGACATTATTAGCTGCATGCTAACTAAGAGCTGCCCTGTTACAAATCAAAACATAATGGAATAAAGCATGGAAAATTTGTCAGAGAGAAGAGGCTTTATCATTTCCCATCGCTTGTAACATCTTCGAAGCAAAAATTCAGTTAAAAAAAGCAAATTTTGTCTTGCAAGTATAATTTTCTGGCTTTGGTACAAAGACCATTTTGAATCTGCAAATTCACTGAATCTTTATGCATGACGAACGCTTGCAACCTATTATGTCATCAAGTTCTAACTAATACGATGGACAATTTCTGCAACAAAATAATGACACAAAAATCTGTTTGTACGCCTTTCGGTAATCCGAGCTGATTGTGGCGTAGGCTAGAATATTCACGGCGGGATTCATGTACGAAAGACAAACAGCAAACAGCACAAAACTCTCTGGTGCACATGGGTATCCACAGGCAATCTCAGTAATGTCCACGATAACAATCGGAGTAACACAGACGGTGAAGAAGCCAATCACCATTGCAATCATCTTTGCTGCTTTCAGTTCCTTCTTGAAAAGAAAGGAGCGATAGCTTGATCTGTTGCTCTTTGCACGAGGTCCTGATGTAGCGCAACTGTTTGTAGAAATACCTGGTAAAACCCAAAATATGTAAATTTAGAAATTATAGATACTTGCAGAAGTACTTGCAGGAGTACACACATATACTGTGATGACAACAAAGCTTGTTCACGAATCCAAAAGCGCGGACCAAATGACGGACTGGGCATAAGAGGCTAAACAATGTTCAATATGCGAAGATCTTAAAACAGAGAATTCAGTTAAAAGTTTCTGTATTGGTATTCACTGGAAAAGGATGCCATAGCTTTTAATGATTGACGGTTTTTAGCAATTAAAGCGAATCATAAGAGTGAACGGGCAAAGTGATTGCTTCGGGAAATGCCGGGGTTCGTGGAAAAAGTCAGAAATATCATATGGAAATTATCAAGTGCCATGGAGTTTATGTAGGGTAAGGTTTTAGCAGTTAAGGCCTAAGATGGTTTATACCAAATACTATTGTACTTACTTTGGGTATTTCCACCTATTTTGTTATTGTTCAAGGCAATCGTTTCTACAGCAGCTATCCTCTTCAAATGATGAAGGGCAGTTTTGAAAATGTATGCATAGCAAGTCATCATTACTAGCAGTGGGAAAAAAACTGCCACAGAGAAAACAAACAGTACGTAATCACGTCTAGTATTGTCAAATATCTACACATTTCAATAGTCTTTCCACCACTTTTGTGCTCATTTTCTATTTTCCAACCAAATCCAAAGAACGGTAGCAGCGATATCAGTACAGACGTCATCCACGAAGCAATGATTTGCAGGGCAAACTTTTTACTTGCGTACGAATGATTGTATGTTAATGGTGCAGCAATGCTAGCCGCACGGTCAATGCTTATCAGTGTTAAATTAAGAACTGAGGCATTACAAAAAAACAAAGTCAATGCTATTACTATCCTGCAGTTGTCTAGCCTCAGTGACCAGGCATGTCCATCTGTTTGCAACATTCTCAGGGGTGCAGCAAGCATTGAAATTAGAATATCTGATATTGCAAGGTTGACAATTAAGATGTTGGTTCTTGTTCGCAACTTTGAGATTCTGCATGTTGCAATAGCCGTCAGTAAATTTCCAACAACTGATATGAAGCAAAGAAGGAGCATTCCAGTTGTCAGTAGAGTAGTTTCAGTTTTGCTAAGCGGCATCTTCTCAGACTTCTCTGGCTCAGTTTATCAACTGGCGGCAAGCAGAACTTTATGCGTGATATGAGGCACAATTAACACTGCAAAACTAATGATTAATCTTTAAATATCCTGAACAAGCGCTGCCACCGTTCTAATCAACATTTGTATGGGTACCTGCAAAATTAAGGAAAAACTATAAGATTGCAATCATTAAGAATTTGTGGTATATGTCTTGCAAATTAATTGTTTTCTACAAGTCGGAAATGACTTCAAAGTTTTTAAAGAAAATTTTAATCGACATGTTTTGATAACTAATCTAGATTCCTAAAGAAAACCATTTATGTTGTTTGACAACTTCGAAAGCTATGAGCGATTTAATCCAGACTCATGTCTACAACAGTGCACTCTGCAAATACACACAACTAGAAACAAAATTATTTACTATATCTTCAAATAGTTACGAAGGGTAGCTCTTTAGAACTGCCAATCTACAAAGGGCTCTCTATTTAAATAAGAACAAAATTGTTCCACTATTAATAATGAATAGAACAAATTGATTACAATCGAAAGCTGGAACACTTCTCTAGTGACAGTTAGATGCATAGTGATACGATGCAATACTCTGAGTAACGGCAAATTTTTCATTGCATGTTTGAGAAAGGGTGGAGAGCATTCACGCATACAAATAGGACCATGTACAGCATTGAAATATGACAATACATGATTTGATAGAGATTTTCTTGATGCTTATAATATCAGACATTTTTTCATTCCAGGCATGAACTTGCCAAAGCGATTGCATATCAACATTACAGTTTATCTGACATATTACGAATGTTGCAGTTCTAATTTTACTTAACTAAATTTTCAGACAGCATTAACCCAGCAATCTTTATGCTTATCTGCCTCTCCTTGCAGCATCTGATTTGTGATTTTTCTAGGTTTTGCTACCGCTCATCAACTAAGTTCAGCATCTGCAGCGTCACGATTTTGTCAAAATTTAAGTTTTAAAATACAAAAGAAGTAATTAGCGATGATTTTCCTTTGTCATTCAGGATTTAGCTTGAAGAAATGAAATATTAAAGATTCCAAAAACTGAGCAAAGTAAGAAATGTATGCGTGTATACATACATACACCACTTTGGAGCACCTTCCAGTTGTTGCCATGACTTTTTCAATACTGCAGGGGTAAATATTCTTTCTTAAATGTCGAACCAACGATTTCGGCAATGGATGTTTGCACAGTAGTTTTCAAAAGACATCTGCAGCAGGTAGTTGTTTGGACAAGTCGTTAAAAAGAAATTCCCTAAAAGGCCGTTTGATCAGGTATGGTACAATAATTCTGAATATATTTTTTAAAGCGCTGTAGAGCTTTTAGTACACTATATATGTGTGGTTTGCATTGCATCTATTGATATCAGGCTCTGATAGATCTTATTAAGTGCTGCATAATTTTAACTTTGTTCAATTCAGAACAGACTTGGCAATTTTGCTTTCTTGCCTGTGGCAAGCCCCTTTACGTATAGTTGCAAGGTGGAAAGGGTGCAAACTTAATTTGTGATGGAACTTGAGTGACCTCTGGCACAGAGTCTTTGGTAGAAAATAGCATCTTTGTTCAATGTCTTTATCTTAGGGGATAAAGGAAGCACAAAGTTACTCTTAGCATTTTATACCATTTTAATTGGTGTTGGGCTGGCCCGTGTCCAAGCTACATACATTTTGATTGAAGGTTTATCAAAAATTTTGCAGAAGGAAAAAGAAATGATATCCCTGCCTGAAAAAGATGAAGTATCCGCAGCTATTTGCAAAGGATTTACAAAGGATTGTATTATTGGGAATTCCAGCTTCTTCCAGCCATTTAATAAAATATGGTGTTCAAAACTGTTTGTAGGCTATTTTTGAGAAGCTTTCTTATTCATACAGCAAAACTGATCAATTCTTAAATTTCATTTTTAGTCAGTGTTGGCCCCAGGATTCAGATGTTATCATGCAAATTTTATCATGCAGACAATCGTACAGAGAATCTGTTGCCGTTGAATAAAAAGCGCTTTCTGTATAAATTTGCTTGACTTACAGTTATCCTGCAGTTCCAACAAATTATGATTTTAAAATGTCCAGATGCTTGCTATTCTATCAATATGAAACTTTTTAAAATGCATACCGCATTTTTTCGAGTTTTAAAATTTAGACACATCTGTCACAAATAATAGCGTAAACTTCTACAGATTAACCAAAATTGATTTCAGACTGTCAGAAAATGCATTATGGGATGCTTGCGCAGCGCAATGGCTTATTGTTAGCAATGAGTCTTTAAGATAAACATTCTCATAGGAAACAGAATATAAGGCCTGAACGCTTGACCATCGGTCATTTTTTCAGTCTTAATTCTAAGCATTTTTTCATTAGCTGCTTCATATTTTTAAAATAATCTTCAAACAAAATTTTAAAATATAAAAGAGAAAATACTAAGTGACCTAAAGATAATGGCCAGCAGTATTCTTTGCAAGTTTCAATAAAGAGTCTAGAAAAGCTTTAATGGTACCTAACATAAAATACATGAATTTTTTAAAACAGCTAATAATTGTGTGCCATTTTTATAACTGTACTGAAATCAAAAGAAGTGGGCGATCATAAATGACAGAACAAAAGCCTTTTGACACCTAAATGCCCTTGAAGAATGTACAATCAATGCAAAGGCATAGGCTTGGCTGATGTCTCAGATTAGCCTCATTAAGCCAGATTTCTTTAGTTTGTCTGAGATATTGTTCACAACAACACATTTGTCCGTTTAATACCGGCCAACGACTTTGCTAATATCTGCTTTAAATCAACTTTTTAATTTTAATTGTTTGTTTGTATGTACAGAAACCGACAAAAGTGTACCGCAAGGCTCAGTCTTGGGACTTCAATTAATTATCAATGACATCTTCTATTCTACACTGAGGTATAGAACGATAAGATCATTCTTTTCTGTGTTTCTGATGTAAACAATGTTGAAGATAAACAGAGGTAGATGCCAGTCAACTTTGCTGTTTACGACCAAACGAAGCAAAATGATGCAAATTGTCATTATATGTTATTCGGAAATTAATCCCCTTATACTTCAGTGAAGTTAGCATATCCTGTATACAACAATCTGAAAAAAAGAAGTTCCCTGGAATAGCACCTGATAAGAAATTAGACTTCAAGTGTCATGTTGAAAATACATGCAAAAATTTGGTGAATACTCTATGCACTTACATGCGATGCAAAATTCGTGGATCAGAAAAGTTATAAAGTTCGTAACGAGAGCGCATTAGAAATCATTTTCAATATATGTGGTCAAAATTTGAAGAATTATGGACAAGTTAGACTTGATCAAATTTCGCTAAAAAATCTACCGTTTGTAACTAAAGAAATTGTTAAAAGTTGATCCGAATTCCAAAATTCGTACCTGGAATCTTCATTAAGAAAAACATCATAAAGTTTGAGAAGCAATGACCGCATGTTGATAGTATTTTCTCACTTTCACACGCTAATGGTTAAGGAATTAAAACAATCATGTGCCTTGGACATCAACTATGGCATTCGTTGCCACTAGAAAAAAAAAATCTCCGTATCTTTACAGAATTTAAGTATATAGTAAAAAGTCATCGCTATAAAAACCTCAACAATAGACTGTGCAAGAAATTTATAAATAATTTAGGGCTTTTATTGATGATTACTTATTTGTATTATTGTTTGTTTAGACAAGATGCAAATTAGAGCCTTCGTTTTATTTTGATCTTTTCTTTATTTTCACCTGAGTATTTCAGTTTTTTGCAAAAGAGAAAAGTAGAGTAAACTTGGCGTAGGTTTTTCCATGAAATGTTCTACAGATCCGTTAACTTCTTCAAGATTGTAAGGCCAGTTTGAAGACTTGCTATCAAATATATTAGGAACTAAAAAGTTGTCGAAGACTTGATTTAAAACTTGTTCTTGGCAAATCTTGATACTTAATGTAAATCCTTTAAATATTCACCTCATTCAACCTAAAGCCAGAAAATGACAAGAATGGATCATGGTTTGAGTTTTACTAAAATTCTGATATTTTGTATTCCTTTAAAGCCTAGTGTAATAATATTCGTGAATAGTTCCTGCTTATTTACCCCCCCCCCCTTATTTTTCTTAAAACATCATTCCTTTTTTTGGAAAAGGTATTGCCCATCACTACTAGCCAATGATACTATGCGATGAAAAAAAGCATAAAACTGTTAATAATTGCTTAATTGCTTGAGAAAGCCTTTTGCAGTCACGTATTCTATTAAGCTTTGCTTCATCGCTCACAAAATTGCTCTTCCCTCTGCCTATTTTGTGGTTTGCCTTAAAAATGTTTTTGTGAGATAGATCGGTATGTAAAAACATAATAAATTGATACTTTTCATAACAATGTACTAAATAACTCTTTCTATGCGAGCTTGATGAATTCTCTTCGCTTCTGCAAATAGGAACTGAAGGATGTTGTCCTAAAAATGTTTTTTTTACCTGTAACGCTTGTATGCAGAACATGGGATAAAATGGCTGCATTTAAACGAGTTTGTTTTCAGACAAGATTTTACTAACACGTTTTAATGCAATTTGTTGGGTTTGTTTCTATAACATTTTTTAAGCCTTCGGAATTTCCTATTCAGCAATTTCAAACTTTTCTGCATTTTGTTTCATTCTCAAACTTTTGTATGGGAAACTTGCGATGAAAGTAGATTTTTCGTTTCATGAAACATTTAAAAGGTAGGCTTCATTAAAAATTCTAACTGATTTTAAAATCCTGCTTTCCTATCGAGTTAAGGGCTATGATTGAATTATGGATATCATCAAAATAGTAAAATTTTAGTGGCTGAAACAAGAAATACTTGAAATAAAATCAAAATAAATAAATTAGATAATTTCAAGAGTGGTTGAAAAGCAGAAGGCAATTCATTGACAAAAATAAAAGGCTGCAAATAAAGCGGTTATCGAAGACCATTTTTCAAGGGTCGTCTTTGAAATCGTTGATTTTATCCGCTGCTATTCGTGTCGACATTTTGGGTCTGGGTATCCAATCAGAGCCTCGTCAATACTTGTCCTCCCTATTGTTGACATGCTTGATGGTGTTGTAAGTTGAAAATGGATTTCTAATAAAAGCAGCCGGTTTGTTTGCTATGTAAATTAGGTTGGAATACTGAGAAAGTTCCTCAATCTTTCTTCAAATGGTGCGCTAAAAACTTTAAATGGTAGTTTTTAATGTGCGTTAAAGGCTTCCTTGGGCTGTAGGTAGTACTGTCAGGCTTGTAGAATGTCAGGCTTTTTTGAAATGTAGCATCGATGGGGCTCAATAGTATTTCCTATATGATTTGTTCTTGTCTGAAAAGTGTTGTCTGAAAATGTCAAGCCAGAGCTCCAAATGCTTGCTAAATCTTTAACTTTGGCAGTAAAGTGAAAATGCAATCCGCTTCTCTGTTAACCATAAAGGTTGGAAAGTTTTATGCCGTAAACATTTATCACATTTAAAGTATCATACTATTTTAGAATTTCAGTATGCACGGGACATAAACACCACTATTGAAACCGATTTCACATTCAAGATATAAACTTAGACCTATAGAAAAGCTTCAAATGGGAATATTTGGCTAAGTTGAAAATCAGGCAAAATTAGAATGATCATTAACGGCCACTCTGATATTGTGACATCATTTATAATTTTACCCATAATACTCCGAAAAAATTAAAGCGTGGAGGGTTTTATATTTGACTTAACAGGGAGTCGATAAAGGGAATCGACATTGGAAGGACATGTAAGTTTATCATAGAAGGGATGATAAGCCAGCTAATTGGAACTCGCCTTCGAAATGCAACCTTATTTGACCGATAAAGATCGATGCAGAACAAGATCAATTTGACTTTGTCGAATTCCTTAAATATTTTTTTCTATCGCGAAAATAATATTACCTACAAAAATAAATTTAAGTCTCCTGTGACCTCCATAGTTGGAAAGGGCATCTTGTCGGCGAGTTCAATCTACGACAGCCACTTACAATAATTATACCATACAACTTCAACGATATGGTTCAAACAATTTGACGTACCCTTTTATCCTGAGTTGCACAGCCACATAAATTCAATGAGTTAAATTCGATCGTAGAAATAGAGGACAATTGGGTGAAACGGAGGAGCGCAGCTTGTAACCTTTCTGCTCAGAGAATCGTTTTTTCATCTCAAATGATATCTCTTCTGGGAAACGTAAAAATGCTAGATTATTTATCATGAAACGTGAAATGTAAATCTTGGCCTTGTGATTTGTTAACCTGACCCCTCGCTACCACCCTCTCTTTTGCGCAGCGCCAGATTAAGGGGTGGGGCCCAAAGGTCTCGGGCAATAGGCTTCCTACCAAGAGTAGGGCCCCCACCAATATAGGCAATAAAGTTTTATAGAAAACTAGTCATTGCAAGTCAAACGTCACTAAAACGCAGTCAAGTGACGTAACGCGATTTTGGCAAAAAACTTTTGAAGCCTTAAAATTTAGGGGTATAATTGTGTCAAAACGCAGAAAATCTCAAAATTTATACTTAACTGACCGTTGCACTACAACTCAAAAAGTGCATGACTCATTCAGTCATTGAAGTCAAACTTGCTCAATAAATATTAAATAATTTCAACTGAATTTCTCTGTAAAAAGAAATTTAATGAGTACAACTTGTATTTATTTCGTTTCATCTTTATGCATTACATATTAGTAAGGAAAAGACCCTCGTTTAG